GACGTGCCCTTTTGTGGGAGGGGTACAAGTTAGGAATACGTTTGTATGCTTCAACTCACAACAACCCCATGAGCTAATAATAAGCACCTTAACTCCTTATAAAATATAAGAAAACCAAGTTTAGAGAATTTAAGTAATTTTTGTAGGGGCACCCAGATCGTGACAAAGCCAGGCTTTAGCCCCTGGCACATCTGACTTCAGAACTGCAGCCAGGGCACCTGGGTGGCTCAGTCGGTTACGTGTCTGACTTCAGCTCAGGTCATGATCTCACAGTTCGTGGGTTCGAACCCCGTGTCAGGCCCTGCGCTGACAGCTCAGAGTCTGGAGCCTGCTTCAGACTCTGTGTCTCCCTCTCTCTCTGCCCCTCCCCTGCTCACACTCTGTCTCTCTCTGTCTCTCAAAAATAAATGAATGTAAAAAAAAAATTTAAAAAACCCTGCAGCCTTTAACTATATCTCTCCATTGACTCTGGTGCCTTGAGAACATTCCATCACTGAGAAGCAGACCCAGCACACCACGTCCACTGTCAAATGCAACATCTCTGCTTTCTAAGGAACTGACCTTGATTCCTGCATCACTGGTAACAGAAACCCTTAAAAGTCTCCCCAGCTTTGCAGCCTGTTGCTTTGCCTTTATCCCCACCTGTACCTACTTTTACATTATGGCCTGTTCTAGCAAGAACACACCCATGCACACACAAATACACATACATAAACACACGTGTGTATACACACAAACACACACGCACACACACAAATATACAAACACACACATATATACAAACGTGTATACACACACAAACATGCACACAAACATACAAATACACATACACACACATGCATGTGCCCCTAGGCTTGACCCCTCTCTCCCCTCTTGAGCCCTTTCCTCTGCTCGTTTCCTCATCCAGATGAAACCTTGCCTCGCCCCTGCCTTCATCCCCCCCCCACCCCCCGCCACCGTCACCGCCCTGCACCACCTGCAATGGCCCCTGGTTACTAACACAAAGACTGGCCATTTCTTTCCTCAAACTTTCCTCCTTGGTTCCTTGGCACACTCGCTCCCCCGCACGCCCACTTGAACTCCCACACACTTGTTCTCCTGTATACCCACTACCCTGCACACTCGCTTGAACTCACACTTGCTCCCCTGTACACTCACTCAAGCTCACACTTGCTCCCATGCACACCCGCTCCCCTGCACACCTGCATGCCCGCTTGAGCTCATGCTTGCTCTCCCGCACACTCACTTGAACTCACACTTGCTCTCTCACAACCCACTTGAACTCACACTTGCTCTCCCGCACACTCACTGGAGCTCACCCTCTTGCACACCCGCTTGAGTTCACACTTGCTCTCCCGCACACTCGCTTGAGTTCACGCTTGCTTCCCTGCAACTTGCTCAAGCTCACTCTCACACACCCACTTGAGCTCACACTTGCTCTCCCGCTCCTGCACACTCACTCCCCCTCACGCTGACCCACTCACACCCCCACTGACACACAAGCCACTTGGGAATTCTATCAAGGCCAATGCAGTGAGCAGCATAATCACCAGGCAGTGGACTCTGTCGGGTCGACAGTATAGGTGTCTCAAACTCAGAAATGTGCTCGTAAGTTAGTTCGCTGCAACTGTCACCCCACATCATAACTGAGGCTCCGGGGCCACCTCCGGGACGCCTGGACCACCCCCTTCTGTTCACCTCCCGGCAAGCCAAGCCCCCTGGACCCTAGCACCAGTCACTGCTCTTCCCCTGTCAGGCCTCTTGGTTCCTCCCTTCGCTCCTCTCCCTTGCAGGTGATGCTGGGAGGCACCTGGACTTGGCCTCCCTGTCCTGGAGGCTCTTCCTGCACCTCCACTGTCCTCAACGCTGCCCCAGGCCCTGCTTTCCTGCAGCCCCGCACCCGCTGGACGTCTTGTCACCTGGGTCCCCTCACCATGGGCCCCCCTCCCACTCCCTGCCACCTGCAGGCCAGCTGCCCTGCTCCTTGCATCCCAGCTTCTTTGGAGCACACGCCAAGGGGGTGGACCTTCTCTCCAGGTCCCTGTCCTGGCTCTCCCATCTCCCTCTTTGCCCAGCCGCCTCCAGACACTCACACTTTTCACCCTTCTGGAGCTGACCCCAGGCTTGTGCCCTCTCCTGCCCACCCTGGGGGCACCCCCGCCTGGCTCAGGGGGCCGGCCTCCCCAGGATGCTGCCCAGACACCTGCAAAGCTGCTGAACCGACTTTCTCAAAATGATCCCTCGGAGACCACCCTGCCTCCAGCTGTGGCTTTTCTCCTTTCTGGAAATGGCAGCGGGCATGTGCTGCCCACACACATCTCTGCTGCCACATCGCGGTGAAGCTCACCCAGAGCACGTCCACCCTCCCCCCACATAAACTCTTTCTCTCTCGAAAAGAAACACTAAAAAAAAGAATAAAAAAAAAACCATTTTTTAATGTTTATTTATTTTGAGAGAGAGACAGAGCAAGAGCTAGGGAGGGGCAGAGAGAGAGAGAATCCAAACAGGCTCCAGGCTCCGAGCTGTTAGCACAGAGCCCAACGTGGGCCTCGAACCCACAAACCGTGAGATCATGACCCGAGCCGAAGTCCAACGCTTAACCCACTGAACCACCCAGATGCCCCTCAATTTTAGCTTTAGAATCACCATTTGTGTTTTTTTTAATGTTTATTTATTTCTGAGACAGAGACAGAGCATGAGTGGGGGAGGGGCAGAAAGAGACGGAGACACAGAATCAGAAGCAGGATCCAGGCCCCGAACTGTCGGCACAGAGCCCGATGCGGGGCTCGAACTCACGGACCGCGAGATCATGACCCGAACCGAAGTCGGAGATGCTCAACCGACTGAGCCCCCCAGGCGCCCCTGTTTGTGTTCTGAAGTAGAGGGTAGTGTGGCACGTTCAGATGCTGCACAGATAAATGTGAGAACAGCCACTCCTCTTCCTCACTCAGGTTTTCTCTGTGCTCCTCAGTTACATGAAAATGCTTTTCATGTGGATATTCTGTTTGCTATGAGGCATGTTGTCACTTTTTGTTGTTGCTGAAAACGTGACCTTCTGTTATATCATGACTTTCCTGCTAATTTTGTGTTCTGTTAAAAGCTTTGTTCTTTCTGTGGTCACAGCTTTTTAGTTGTTTCTCTTAGATTTCCTGGGCACGCAATCATTTATCCATAAATTCTCTCACCTCCTTTCCCATTTCACGGCTTCTCTCTCGTCTAAGTGTCCTTCCCTGCCCTCGTCTCCCCTGTCCCATTTGCTCCGCCACGCTGGCCTCTCACTGCAACAACACAGACACCACCTGATTTGTGAGAGCGTGATCTGCTCGGTCTGCTCGGCCTGCCGGCCCCACCGGGTGCAGTCTGTGGTGGAGGAGGGCGCGATGGCCCATCTCCCGGGAGATGACTGTGACCGTGCCTGGCCTGCTGCTGGGTTCCTCTGTTCGCTGTACTGGTCACAAAGTTTAAGTCGTTAAAGAGTTAGGAGGAATGTGTAGTTCACACAGCACAAGTTTTATTAATGTAATTTTAAGGCCAATTAAACTAATTTTATTCAGAGTAAGTCTACATTAAATTACAATATTAACAATCTCTAGAAATAATGAACATAAAATTTAAGAAGTAGAAATCTATTTGGTCTTTATAGACCACAAATCATAGAACTCACAAATGAAAATTTACAAATATAGAAATAATGAGGATACTTGAAGGGCGAGATTTTCACATGGAAACCCATAAGATGTCATATTTTAAACACGCATGTTTCAAAAAGGGAGAAGTTTTTAATAATTTAGCACAAAATCAAATTATATAAACTTGGTATATCCCAGAAAATATTGCTTTAAACACTTATACCATGATCAAAATTCCTTTGGTAGCTTTTAATCAAAGTGAAACATGCTATTATGTAAAATATAAAGTACTCTGAAATGTTACCAGAAAAGGATCTTTGTTACAGTTCACGGTACTGACATCGTCGGCCCCCACACAACCTCACCTGTACACACACAACATGAAACCAGGTGCCAACAAAATCCTTTAATCTTTTGACAAAACCACCTTCCCAACATCAGGACTCGAGTGTCTCCCGCCACACCTTACAGTGGTCACAGCGTGGACAACAAGCTTCCCTGCGTAAGGCTGTAAAGCAAACCAAACTCTGTTAGAGCGACTGTATGCCATCGTACAAATACTGCAGTCAGGAAACCAGACAGCGGTCACCTCGGTGCGAAGAGCAGGGGCTGTGAGACACAATCTTAGAAGAGTGGGTGCAATCACACTGCCCCCGGGACCCCTAAACAGAAAATTCACAAGCAACTCAGACGCTCGTGAGTTCACCGCAGTGAGCATGCCCCCAGTGCTGTCTCGGCAAGGAGGGGTCTCGCCGAGAAACCTCGCTCTGGGAAGTCCGTCATCAGAGTGTAAAAACATGGAAGATAAAGGAAACGGACAGATGTCGGTATTGACGTTGCAGAACTGAGGAGTCAGTTCTTGACACTGACTGTTTCTTCCTAATGCTCGCCAACGAAGGGCTCTGGTTTCCAACCTACATGCCCATCCACCAGGAGCCCCTGCCTTCAGGAGCACACCAGCCCACTCTGCAGCCCACGGACACAGCACGGAGGGTCTAACTGTGCATCTGTGATCACACGCACACACACACCCCACACCAAGCTGTCAGCTTTCTGCTACAAAAGCAACACCTTACAAAGGAACCTCTTTTACCCAATATCTTCTCGTCCAATCTCAAAGTCATTCTGCCCGAGCAGCTGCGACAGTTTAAACACCGAAAACAGTAAGAGGAAGAACTGGAGGAAAGACACATGTGCCGCTGGCAAACCCCTAAGCTTTGTGAAGGGTGATCTGAGAATCATCCTTTCCTTCTAATCCAAAAGTCTCCACACTGGCTCAATCTCAGAAGTCCTGGGAACGGCACAGAAATGCTTCACCGCTCTGAAGATACATTCTAGGGTCTCGCTGAGAGAACACGGCTGGCCGACACATTAGGCCACGTAGTGGTACTGATTCGGATTGTCTTTGTCTCTCTCCATATAGTCTCTGTCTATAAGAGATTCAATTCTCTTTTTCAAATCTCCAGGCTAAAAAAGAGAAACGAAACCCTCAATTATAGTGGCGGTAAATTTACAAACACGGGGAAACATATGCGCGAAGCAAGTAATTATAATTTATATAAAATATACATATCTACAGGTAAACTATTTATAATTATAACCAAATTATAAAACGAAGACAATCCAAGTCCCTCCTTCAGAGACAATGCTAACATGGCCTCTTGATTCAAGCGCTCTCGTGTGAATTTACTGTCTGAGCAGGCTGAGAGGGAGGAGATGAAAACCCTTCTTTACCAGCACGAACGAACGCATAAGGAGGGCACATCCTACTGGGTGGCACATTTTCATTGGTCTGAAAGGGGAATCTGGTAACGTCTCAGGGCAGCTTCATCCTTTGCAAGGACATCTGTCCCCAAGTCCTGTATTTCCTGCATGTGCTGCTGATGTCGTGTAACCACAGGTCCACAGATGACTGATGCCATAACAAGCGAGCCCCGGGAGGACGTCTCTGGCTCCGCCGTGGTAGAAAGCACACTTATGTTGACATTTATGAGCAAGCTTCTCCCTTCAAGGGCACATTCCATCAAAAGGCCTAGCTTTCTATCAAGTGACGGATGGAGCATTCATGAGATGCAGTGAGACCCACGCTAGGTCCTGCCAGGGCAGAGCCGGCTGCTACAGCCACCGCATATGCCTCCCACCGGTCAGTGCTGTAACTGCTGGGCCTATCGTCTGTAAGAGGGAAAGTGGGCGCTGGCGCTGGCTCTGGCCCGAGGGGGAAAGAAGGGTGTACACGGCAGGGCTGGGCACCCACACCTGCGTGGCAGAGGACACGGCAGCCGCGTGCTTGCCCAGGGGAACACGGTGTCTGCTCACCCTGACTCCCTCAGTGAGGATGGAGGGCCGGCTGCTCCTCTGCCCAACGGGACCCCGCAGAACCAGGGAGCTTCACCCCACAGGCTCAGTCTCTGCAGGGCCAGGCCTCACGAGTCCCATACTTCCCAGGTGGACGCGCCTGTTTTCAAGAGCTCTTCCTAACACTTCCCTACCTGGTCAGTGCTCCAAGTACAGCCAGGGCAGAAACCCTCCGGCCTAGAAACACGCAGGCAAAGACAGGATTCAGGGTTGACTTTCTCATGCACAGAAATGAGGAGGTATCACCAAAACAGAAAATGCTCTGGAGCTTGTCAGTGCTGAATAAATGAGCAGCTAGTAGGACTTCCCCGCAATCACAGGGTGTGACCTGAATAGCCACCCCACTGAGAAACCCGCCTGGAGCTACAGCACCTGCCCCGGCCCCCTCCCCCTCCTAACAAGGTGTCAACGTCTTTGCCAGTGGCAGATTTGGGGCCTCTAGTTCCTGGGACGGTTACAAAGAGCATTTGGGATAAAAACCCTACTGTCCCCACTTGCCAGTTTTTTGACATTTGGTGTGCACACACAGGCAGATTTCTGCAGTAAATGATCACCTGTAATGCAGGACAAATGATTCTAATGTGTTAGGAACTGAACATGCTTTTTCAATGTTCGGCGCAGTACTTTAAGTTTAATTAAGCTAATGTGCATTTACCTTTACTGGAAATTTCAGCTGATTATACAATTCAGAAACTAGAAGGTTATGACCAAGAGTCTTTCTCATCTTCATTATTCTGACGATAGCAGCATCAATCTGATATTGTCTGTCCTGAAACACTCTCTCAGTGGTGCTGGCTTGTTCCTCAATCTGCACACAGACACACACACAAGTGAAATGTAAAGATACTGTTGGGTGTTATTTCATATTGTTGAGTTTAATGGGAAACTTTTTTCTTATTTGAGAGAGAGACAGAGGGAGAGAGACAGAACACTCGAGCACAGGCAGGAGAGGGAGAGAACCTGAAGCAGGTTCCACACTCAGCATGGAACCTGATGCAGGGCTTGATCTCAGGACCGACTGTGAGATCATGACCTGAGCTGAAATCAAGTTGGATGCTCAACCAACTGAGCCACCCAGGCACCCCTGATAAGAAAATTTGATGCAAAGAAAGGCCAAACATTGGGTAAATCCTATTCTGTTATGCATTTTTATTTGTTCTAGCAAAACCTAGCTTCCCAAGAATAGCCCAACTTCAGTACCAAAGCTTGAAAAAGAATGTAAAGTTACATTCCCCTCATAAAAAAGCTACAAAACACTATCAACTGTATATAATCCTGGATTAGATCCAGTAGCACAGAAGAGAAAGCAGAATAAAACACAATAGCTACCAGAGTTTATTCCAGAAATGCAAGCTTTGCTCAGCATCAGGAAACCTAGGAATGGAATGAATTTCATCACAGTTGTGTTGAGGTCACAGCGATTATGTGATCTCTTGACAGACGCTGCAAAGGCACAAAAAAATTGAAAACCTATCCTTGATCTAAAACAAATTAACGTACAAATAGCAATGAAAAAAACCCCACCTGAACATGATAAAAAGCTGTTACCAGAAGCAAAGCACAGCTCCTGATAACAACTTCATGTTAGTTAACAGCAACCTACTGGAGGCCTGTTTGATCTACAAGGAGACAGGTCTGTGCCCGCATGTAAGGTAAGTGAGTTTCAGAAAGGGAGAAGCCACGCTTCCATCGCACTTCCAAAGGGATCCACCACCCCAAATAGGTTAATGTTCCAGCCACTTGAGATAAAAAAAATCAGGAAGTGAAGAAAAAGCCTGGTAGCACCATTATTTCATACAAATGTGATTTTGAAAGTTCTAGCTGCGCAGTAAGAGAACAAAAGAACTATAGCAAATTGGAGCAGACACGTGGTAATTATTTGTAGATAAGCTACAAATCCAAAAATCCGAGAAAATCAAAAAACCATCAAAGCCAACGAGAATTTCGTGAAGTGGCTGGACACAGGAAGAGTACACAAGGGTAAATGGTGTTGATATATATACATACTGGCAATAACTGGTTACACATGTAAACAGAAAAGATCCCCTTAATAGGTGCCAGCATTTTATTGGCCCTTCTTGCTTAAAACCTTCAGTGGCTTCCCCAAATTCTTCTTAGCTCTGACCAGTCTGTATATAACCTGTCTGTGGCCTGCCTCCTCAGGCCTCACCTGGCTCAGCGTGGCCTTCGGTGGGAAAGCCTTCCCTGACCCACGGTGTCGGACTGTGCTTTTGTCTCCTACCTCAAGTGTAGTAAGTTAAATGATGTGTAATCATCTGGTACCTGTCTGCTGAAAGTTCCTTGAAACTAAGATTTATAAGAATAAGTTATTATTCACGGATGAATTCTCAGTGCTTCACAGAGGACCTACGCCTTAGTAGGTGCTTAATGAGTATTTGTTGAATCATCTAATAAGAAATATGCCAAGACTTTTAGTAGAAAACTCCCATGAAGAGACTTATATTTATATATATACACAGATAAGAATCAGATTTAGTATAGCCAAAATGAAAACTGAAAACTATGTAATGCACTTTCAATAAAAAATGTTAATGTTCTTATTTGGAGGGCAAAGACACAATAAAATTACTCTCAAACTTACTGGGAGAATAAATTTCTAGGAATGGGTACATTAACTAAAAGAATTTGGGTCCTGGATATGAAAGAGATCAATAGAATTTGTAGAAGAGAATTTAAAAACTGACTCGTAATATGTGAATTTAATATATAACAAAGGTGACAATTCAAATAAGTTGTCAGAGAACGGTATTTTCAATTCAGTTTTAGAATAGGAAGAGTAGTTAGATTGCTTTTTGATATTAATTTCTACGTTGCTCAAAGAAAAACTTAAATGTAAAAACTAAAAGAAAAGTACAAGTAATTTTAAAAAAAACATTGGGCTAGGGGCACCCGGGTGGCTCAGTCAGTTAAGCATCCGACTTCGGCTCAGCTCATGATCTTGGGTTCGTGAGTTCAAGCCCCGCATTGGGCTCTGTGCTAATAGCTCGGAGCCTGGAGCCTGCTTCGGATTCTGTGTCTCCCTCTCTCTCTGCCCCTCCCCCACGCTCTCTCTCTCTCTCAAAAATAAATATTAAAAAACAAAACATGAAGAATTAAAGATCAGAAAGACATGATGTGCATAAGCTACTCAATGGCATAAAGATGCTCAAAGAAATTCAATCTAAAATGGCAATGAACTATCTGTGCCTGTAAGAACAGGGCGGGCAGAGGGAGGGCTGGCCCTCTTGTGAAACCGGACACTGAAATCTGGGAAGATCTGTCAGGCTTCCATTTGGAAAAGAGTGGCCAGACTAACAAAAGTCCACATTCTTTGACCCTGTAATTCCAGGGCAAAGATTTTATACTGAAGAAAAAAGCTAATAGGTACACAGGATGTTTAATGTAACCTTATTTCCAGTAGAGATCGAAACCACCTGAATGCCTTTCCCCAAGGGCACTGCTGAGCTCCTGAGGGACACAGGACCAACTACTCTGCACCCGTGAGAAACCAAGTCCTGACATGGAAGCAGACCCACAGTAACAAGACCAGACTGCACAACGGCACATATAAATGCCATCTGCAGAGTGATCCCGTTACAGAATAAACAAGATTAGACATTTACACCACAGGAAAAACCTGCACGTCGAAGTGGCAGTAAAGGTCATCTCCAGGAGACAGAGGTGACAGTCCCACTTTGAAATAAGCACACCTGGGTGGCTCAGTCGGTTAAGTGCCGACTTCGGCTCAGGTCATGATCTCACAGTTCATGAGTTCGAGTCCCATGTTGGGCTCCATGCTGGACAGCTCAGAGCCTGCTTGGGATTTTGTCCCCCCTCTCTGTCCCTCCCCTCCTTGTTCTCTCTCAAAAATAACATTAAAAATAAAGTAAAAGCACAAAAAGAATGCCTGTTTTCCCATATACTTGCCGACTCTGGATATCATCAAACTTTTAAACATTTCCCATGTTGACAGATAAAAAGTGGAGTATTATTTTATTAAAGTTTTTACTTATTTGAAAGAGCGGGGGTGGCTGGGTGGCTCAGTCAGTTAAGCACTGACTTCGACTCAGGTCATGATCTCGCGGTTTGTGGGTTCAAGCCCCGCGTTGGGCTCTGTGCTGACAGCTTGGAGCCTGCAGCTGCTTCGGATTCTGTGCCTCCCTCTCTCTCTGCCTCTGCTTATGCTCTCTCTCTCTTAAAAATAAACATAAAAATTAAAAAAAAAAAAAAAAAGCGCACGCAAGTGGGGAAAGGGCAGAGAGTGAGAGAGAGGGAATCCCAAGGAGGCTCTGTGGGGCTTGGACCCATGAAATCACGAGTCTGCTGCTCGACGACAGAGCCCCCCAGGCAGCCCTGGGGTATTATTTTAACTTGAATTAAAAAAAATTACTGATGAGAATGAACATCTTTCATATACTTACTGATCTTTCGCATTTCTTTTTGTGTAATCTGAACTTCTTTTCCCACCGGGCTCCACCTGAACACTTCCAGGTAAGGGAGCGACCACGCTCGACTGAGGGGGGTGAAGAAGCTGTGACGCTGCCCTGGTCTTGTCTGAATGGGTTGGTGCCTTCACAAGGCCTCTCCTCATTTACATGCCAGGGCCCACTGCCTCCCCCCTCCCCTGCGTGGCAGCACTTCAGGCTGCAAGGGCTCCCTTGTTCGGAAGGGCCTGAGGGCGGTGGTCCAGGACCTGCCCTGGACATGAGACACTTGAGAATGTCTTCGCTGCTACAAACACTCCAGTGGGCCTGTGACAGCCACCACCTCACCACCCCTCCCACGTTAAAGTGCTCTTACAAGACTTAGGAATTGACCGTACAAACGAATGAGTCCTTGGTAAGTACCCAGTGAGTGACACAAGAAAGCTTATACGTACGGTTTCCTTCATCTGGATCTGGTTGATCTTTATTCGAAACAGTTTGTGCTTGAACTCCCCGTTGAACATGAATGTGTCCCCGTCTTCCACCTCCTTCCCTTTGGGACTCTTAACCAGAACTCGTGCTTTGCCGCAGGCCAGGGACTGCAACGTTCTTCGCAGCTCACCATCCTCTGGGTGGGGAGAGAATCGGGCACAGACTAGCACCGAAATGAGGACACGTGACAATGGTGAAAGACACCCCACACTCACGTGTGACGGGCAGAGACTGGGCTGATCTCTAACAACAAGGACACGCGGAGGCCACACAGTCATGGAGCGAGGACTCTTACCTATCCCTGTGGCCATTTTTATTTCTTCAAAGCTGAATCCGTCCCCTTCGTTGAACATGAGAAGCACCAGTGTCTGGAACAGGGACACCTGGAACTCCTTCTTCCCCTGAAAGAGCATGGGACGCACCCCGTGTAAACCTGTGAGTTCTGTGTGCAGGAAAGCAGCTGGGGTCTAGAGGGCTTCACCCCCAGGACCGGCCTCTCTGGGTGGAGGTGGGGAATCATGGCTGCCCCACCTGGTCTGCAGAGGCAGGAGAGGATACATGCAATTTACATACGTAGTATCCATGCACATAGGATTTATAGGATACGGTGCCTAGTGCATGGTAACAGCTAGCAAAGCAGTCATTCTGTAAATTTTTTGCTTGGTGTATACAACTGAATCTTATTTACAAAGCTGAAGTTAAACAGGAACATGCAGGCATTGTTTTGTGACCTGCTTCTTTCTGGTATCAAAACACCGTCTGCACTTTCCTCTTGTATTACGTCCCTTTTAGCAATAGCACCGCGACAAACGGGCTTATTCACTGCTCTGTGAAAACGTCTTATTATGATGAATTTCTGGAACTCGCACCACTGTAACAAAGCCTGTGACTTTGGAGGCGGGAGATGTGAGACCAAAGCACGCTCTGTATGGCGCTGTTCCTCGAGGTTTTAGCCTTGACCAATCAGTACTCGAAATGTGGCATTTCACTGGACTGTAATTTGCAAATGTTTGGCAGAAAAATAGAGCAGGTTTTCAATGAATTTGACTTCTTAGTCTTGCTTTTATGAGTTGCCTCTTCACATCCTTTGCTTTCTTCTTTTTTTAAACCTGGAAGCTTCACACATTCCGGGTCGCTGCACTGATTTCTGTATCATTCCTATTCTAGCACATGTGCTGTTGAAGCGAGCACTCCTTTGCTCTTTTTTCAGCTAGGTAAATGCTTTCTATTTTTATTGACTTTTTATTGACTTTATTGATTGGAATATTAATCCTTCAGCTGTTTATTATCATTGACCAAGAAAAGGCAGTACGGAGTTATGCCGAATGACCTTTTCCTTTGTTTGTTACCAAAGATCAACCACAATTGAAAATATTCTATTAACATATTTATATGTTATTTGTCTATGAAACAGACAAAGAACTTACTTCTTTAAACTCTGCTTTTAAAACAGCATGGCCCAACGTGGTTTGCCACTGAAGTTTTCGACCACTGTGCTTTCCAAGATAGAATGTCTTAAATATTTCCTGAAGTTTAACCATCTGCCAAGCACAGGAAAACAATAAGTATAATTATGCTAAACACCACACATCCAAAGAACCACATACTGCTTAATTTACAAAGCTTTCAAAATTTTTCACAGCTGAATGAAAAGATCAGTTCCGTATTTTGACAGTGTTTCTTTGGATTATTCTGTTACCTGTGCAAATGTCTGCCACTCTGGCACACTGGGGTCTGCCTCCCACATGGGTGCTGCTTCAAGTGGTACTTAATGCACAGACAGGTTGTGTTCCTCAGTCTCCACAGCCCACGCTGTGGCTCCCCTGGCCAGTAGCACATGCAGTCAAGACCACAGAGACCGTCTGCAGGCCCAGCTGTGTCCTGCCAGGTTGTGGTGAGGCTGGGAGGGTGCTGGGAAGCAGGCTGTGGTGAGGCTGGGAGGGCACTGGAAAGCACCGGAGGCAGTCTTGTCTAGGAGGCATGACGTGCCACTGTTTCCATCGTTACTTTCTGGGAGGATTTCTCCTACCTTCTAAACTTTCTTGTGGTTTTTTTTTTTTTTTTTTTTTTTTTTTTTTTTTTTTTTTTTTTTTTTTTTTTTTAATTTTTTTTGATGTTTATTTATTTTAGAGACAGAAAGAGCACAAGTGGGGGGAGGGCAGAGAGAGGGAGACACAGAATCTGAAGCAGGCTCCAGGCTCCAAGCTGTCAGCACAGAGCCCAATGCGGGGCTCAAACCCATGAACCATGAGATCATGACCTGAGCTGAAGTCAGGCACCCAATCGACTGAGCCACCCAGGCACCCCTCGTGGTTCTTTTTTTTCAAGTTTATTTATTTTTGAGAGAGAGAAGAGAGAGAGTGGTCTAGCAAGAAGGGGAGGGGCAGAGAGAGAGCAAGAGAATCCCAAGCAGGCTCCGAGCGTCAGCATAGAGCCCAACGTGGGGCTCAAACTCATGAACCCTGAGATGATGACCTGAGCCGAAGTCAAGAGTTGGACACTCAACTGACTGAGCCCCCCCCAGGCGTCCCTCTCACAGTTCTTTACTGCTGTGGTCTCACTCCTTTGAAGCCCCTCCTCCTTCTCCCGGTGTCCAGCCCTCCCCACCCCTGGCCTCCTGCTTAGTTACAGACGGGTTCTGCTGTCTGACAGTGTTTCAGGGTGCATTTTCTGGTGTCCCGCACACTCCCTCTCACTTTGTTTGCTCGGTTCCCTCGACATTCTCACTGCTCTGCAGCCAGGATAGCCAATGATCTGTGCTGCCAAATCCAATGGGTTCTTCTTATCAGGCTTCGATCAGAAATAGCTTTGTGAGAGGCGGCTTCCCTGCCTTCAGTGACTCATGGCTTAGACCCCCATGTCTTTGTCTCATGTCCCTTCCTTCCAAGGTCTCCTTGGTGTGTCTACCTTCCACCCCGGACACATGGGCGCCCTCAGGGTCCTGTGTGCCAGATAGTCTGCACTCTGCTCACTGCCCTGTCAGCATCCTTGGCTGCTTCCAAGTTCTTAGGATAAAGAGTCAAACTCTTGGGGCGCCTGGGTGGCTCAATCGGTTAAGTGCCTGACTCCTGATTTTGGCTCAGGTCATGATCTCACGGTTTGTGAGTTCAAGCCCACATGCTGATAGGGTACAGCCCGCTTAGAATTCTCTCTCTCTCTCTCTTCCTCTGCCCCTTCTCTGCTTACGCTCAACCACGTGTGCATGTTCCCCCCGCCCTCGAAAATAAACAAACAAAAAAAGATTCTGAGGCGCCTGGGTGACTCAGTTAAACGTCTGACTTCGGTTCAGGTCATGATCTCACGGCTCATGAGTTTAAGCCCCACGTTGGCTCTCTGCTGTCAGCACAAAACCCACTTCAGATCTTCTGTCCCCCTCTCTCTCCACCTCCCCGGCTCACATGCTCTTTCTCTAAAGTGAACAAACATTAAAAAGAAATAAAAATAAAGAGTAAAACCCTTCCAAGGCTTGCCAAGGTCCTGTCCTCCAGAACCACTGATTGCACTGGCCTGCCCTGTGCTTCCCCCACTGGACGAGTATGCTGTGCTGTCTTCCCTCAGGCTTCCACCTAGGGACACCCCTCTGTAACCCCCTGGTCATCTTTAGAGCCCCTTCCTCACAGAGGCCTTCTCCAACTGCTCTTGGCTCTGAGGGCATTCATAGCAACTTGTGACTGTCCCTCTCTGGACAGAGAGCTCAGGGCATCAGCGAGGGAGCGAAGGCCCGCTCTCCCTGCCTGGGGCATCTGTCAGCTCCTCTGCGCTCTGTCCAAGCAGTGCCTTTGGTCAGGATGCCCGTCGGCCTTGCATCTGCCCAGCAACCCCATCCTCACACTTCAGAATTATTACCCACACCCACATTCAACCACATCAGATCCCAGGCACAATTATCATTTCGTTTCTAAGTATTGTAGTATATATCCAAAAGACAACGACTCTTTCAGAAAACATATCTAGAGGCGCCTGGGTGGCTCAGTGGGTTAAGCATCCAATTCTTGATCTCAGGGTCATGAGTTCAAGCCCCATGTTGGGCTCTGCACCGGGGGTGTGAAGTCAACTTAACAAATAATTTGCAAAAAAAGAAAACATACTTGGTGCCATATGACATTCAACCAATAAAAGCTAATAAGGTGATGAACTTCCTAAAAACTTTTTCCTTGCGATTAATTCCTAGGAGTGGCCATAATCATCATGGTAAGAGGACAGCAGCTAACACTGGGTGCTTATTATGTGCCAATTACAATCCCAGGCTCAAAATGGAACAGAGACCCACCCACATGTAAGAGTGAGTATCGATAAAACTCTTAGCAGAAAACAGAGGTAAAATTTTAAGACCTTGAATGTGGCAACAGTTCTTAGATATGACAACAAAAGTAACAACAGAAAACATACTGGACTTTACAAAAATTCTAAAATTTTGTGCAAAGAACACTATCAAAAAAGTAAAAAGGTATCTCACAGAATGGGAGAAGGTATTTGCCAATCACATATCTGATAAGGATCTAGTGCCCAGAATATACACAGAACTCTTAAAATTTAGCAACAGATAACACAAGTAAAAATGGGCAAAGGACTTGCATAGAAAGTTCTTCACAGAAGAGCTATGGTGGCCAATAGGCACACGAAAAGATGCTCGACAAAATCATCATTCATTGGGGAAAAGCAAATCTGACCAAAACGAGATACCAATTCATACCCACGAAGATGGCTCTGATCAAAAACCAGAATAACAAATACTGAGGAGGATATGGGGAAACTGGAAGCCGTGTTGCTGATGGAAACGTAACAGGCTGCAGCTGCAGTGGAAAACCAGCTTCTCACCCGCATCTCCACTCCTGGGTGTGTACCAGAGGCTCTGAAAACCAGGACACAGATTTCTGCACGCTTGTGCTCACGGCAGCGTTATTCACAGTGGCCGAAAGGTAAACGCACCTTTCAAGTGTCCGTGGCCAGCCAGCCGGCCGGAGGGACAGAACTTGGTCCACACACACAGTGGAACATCATTCAGCCTTCACAAAGGAAGCACGATGTGGGCTACACATCGTGGAACCCGCACGGTGAGTGGAAGAGGTCAGACACAGAAGGCCACCAAGTGTGACTGCAGTTATGTTAAAACCCAGAGCGGGCAAGTCCCGCGTTAGCGGGCCAGCAGGTGCCCAGGCTTGGGCACTGGAGCAGGAGTGAACGCTCAACCCCACGGGGGCAGGGTTCTGTTTGCCACAATGACGAAGTTCTACACTGGACGCAGGTGCCGCTCAGCTGTACGGCTTGAAATGTGAGCTGCAGTCCGTTTCCCCCATGGCTTCCTCCCCTGTGTTTACACTGTGGGCATATTTTTACAAAGGCCAGTACAGTAAGCCTTCAGCATCTCTTGCTAGACAACAAAAAAGTACCAGGAAACCACGAGGGCCAGTACAAGGACAGAGGAGCTGACAGGGGCTCCAGCAGCTGGATAGCAGACAACAGGGGCATCGGAGCAAGCAACCAGGAGTCCGCGAGTCTGTCCAGAGGAGGACAGAGACGGTCACTGTTGACCAAGGTGAAAGTGGATCTGAGCAGGGATCGCCCAGCAGGAGAATCTGGTGGGGGAGAGGAGGTCCACACCACGTCCACGTACCTTCCCACAGATTACTTCAAAAGTACAACAGGAGAAACACTAACCACACAGAGAAGAAGCCAGCTAAAGCCTTAGCCAACGACAACGTGGGACACCAACAGACGGGGGCAAACGGACAGCAGGTACCTCCTGACGTGCTGCTGGCTGAGCAAATTGTGTGGGACCCTTGCTGGATGAGCCCTGTGGACATACTTCATGAAAACTGGTGTGCGGTTTTGGGATGTGTGAGCGTTAAGAAAGAAGAGGCTGGTGTAGCTGATACGGGGAAGAGGACCGGGGTAACTGTGGTGTGGGGCCTGGACAGTGTCTGGACAAAAGCAGAGAGGGCTCCCTCCCCCTGGGATAAAACTGTTACGGCAGTAATTGACTCAAGAGTGTCTCTGGGAGGTACCCACTAAAGTACTAGGTGCAGGAGGTATGACGTAGCCTCTCAAGTGTCAGTGCTGAAAACACAGGCAACACGTTCTGGGAATGCTTTGAACTATTCTCGCAAAGTCTCTGTAAGTCTGAATCACCTCAAAATAAGACGCAAACAAACTCAAAGTGCCACAAGAGACACATCCAGGATGGACCTGCCTGGCCCAGTGAGCGGGGTGAGGAGGTGACAGAGGGTTTTCTGGAGAAAGCGTCTGGGGAGGGAAGTCTTAACCAGCAGTCAAATGCTGAGGACGGATGGGGGTGGAGTGAGGTTTTCTGGAGGTGGCTCACTTTCTGGAGGTGGTTTTCTGGTGTGAGGTTTTCTGGAGGGGGGCACAGAAGCCCTGGAGAATGTGGGAACTGAGGGGCATAGAGCCCGCAGGCAGCTCAGGACACAGCTGTGGCACCTGCAGACAGCAGTCGCTTGGGGAGGGAGGAGGGGACTGCAGCAATCTGGGGCGTCTGAGCCTGGGGACATTGGTGCGTATGTGCTCAGGACCACAGACTCACAGGCTGGAGGCTGAGGGCCTGTGTGGGCTGAGAAGGGAGCTGATAGGCTCTGGGAACGTTAGCGTCTAGAGTAGAGGTGGAGGGCCCACAGGAGAAGACAAGTAACACGGTGCATCAACTGTACTTCAATAACCAGTTAAAACAAACACAAAAAGGAGACAACCACAAAGACCAACCAGCAGAGTCAGAAACAGAAGAAAACCCTGAAACAGAGAGTCTTGGAAACGGAACAAACAGCCTCACGACAGGCTGTCTCCAGCCTGGGCTCCCAGGTGCCTTTCTTGGTGCTTTCTAGAAGGCCCTTGTCCCTGCTGTTTTCTTCCCGGCTCCACCCCAAACCAGCCAGGGGACACAGGCCGTCATGGTGAAATGCTGTTTTCCAGAGGCTATGAGGACCCTGCAGTTTTACTTCTGTGATTTAAAAAAACCTCTCATTAAATACTCCGTGACAGGCAGCATCTCTGTGCATGGTATGTGTGTAAGAAGTCCACAGGGCAAGTGCCTGGGAGGCTCAGTCAGTTAAGCATCAACTTTGGCTCAGGTCATGATCTCGAGGTCTGAGTTCGAACCTGACACTGGGCTCTCTGCTGTCGGCGGGGAGCCCACTTTAGATCCTCTGTCCCCCTCTCTCTGCCCCTTACCCTCTTACGCACACGCGCACACACACTCTCTCAAAAATAAATAAAACACTTAATGTATTTGGTTTCCATAACTATTCCCCAGACACTTTTATCTTTTTTATTTTTATTTTTTTGATGTTTATTTTTGGGAGAGAGACATAGAGCATGAGTAGGGGAAGGGCAGAGAAGACAGTGGGGGAGACACAGAATCTGAAACAGTCTCCAGGCTCTGAGCTGTCAGCACAGAGGCCACGAACTGTGAGATCATGACCTGAGCTGAAAGTTGGACACTTAACTGACTGAGCCACCCAGGTGCCCTTTCCCCAAATACTTTTTAAAATTTACTGCATGGTGACTGGGTGGCTCAGTTGGTTAAGCATCCACCTCTTGGCTTTGGCTCGGGTCATGATCTCACGGTTTGTGAGTTTGAGCCCTGTGCTGACAGCTCAGAGTCTGGAGCCTGCTTCAGATTCTGTGTCTTCCTTTCTCTCTGCCCCTCCCTTGCTTGCGCTCTCTCTTTCTCTCTCAAAAATAAACATTAAAAACAAAAAAACCCCAAAGCAGTCCACGGTTCTTTGGCAACACTGATATATGAAAAATAAAGGGCAAACACTCTTTGAAACACTTACTTCTGGAGTCAAATGCACTTCCATAGGTGTGTATGTTGGCCAGTACCCCATCGTAAGTATGTTCACGGTTAGATCTATAGAGCCTGGGTCACTCTGATTCTGCATATACTAAAGACAAAGTAAACCAAGAGGAAACAGTTACTGTAGAATGTCATCAAAAATAACTAGTTCGTAAAAGAGTAAACAGTGTAATTTTCAAACCACAGTTCAACATGTGTTTGCACCTAGTCCCAAGAACACATCCCACTGAAGCCATGCAACATGTTCCAAAGTCATTTGGGATATTTTTTCTTTCTTGGTTATGTTACCAATACAAGACTCTAGGACACTTCTTTAAATCAAAAGTTTTTATGCATTTTTAGGGATTACTTTTCTTTTTCATTTTGAATTTCAGTTATTTGGACATGTGGACATGAGCAGTATGATTCTCAAGGTGGAGGGTTTTCCCTTGGCTGACACCCCCCCCCCCCAACATAACTTAAAGCGGGGTGGCTCCTGTTCGGCTGTCCCACGTGAAACAAACAGAGCTTGCCTGCTTGAACTGCACCATGATGTCCTTGGACAGCTCCATGTCCTTGAACATGCCTTCCAGCTTGCTGGTGAATGCCGCGCCGCACTCTGGGACAGAAGCGGAGGCGTGAGCACCCCCGGGGACGAGGCCCAGCGCAGGGAAGGGTACACCCCGGGGCCCACACGCTTACCGTGCTTTAGTTTGGACAACATAGATTTTTCAGCATCTACTGAGGCGCTTTTTCCAACAAGGAGTCTTTTTGCCAAATCTTTTTTATAAAATGCTTCGAAGACATCTTTCCCTGTTTATAAGCAAATGAAAATGGTGTGAGACGCTGGACTATTAACGCGCACTTGCTCACTCCTGATGAGACTCCAGTGGCGACTGTGCCGCAGGGAGCTCGGCAGGGGCCTGCGTGGGATGCCCCCATAGGAGGACACCCGCGCTGCCATCGGTGGGCGCCCACCCCTCCATTCCCCGTGCTGACACGGAAGCGGGAGTGTTTCTGTCCATCTGTCTCAAGGAAAAGAGGGGCCCATGTACAGACGTGTTGACCATCTCGTCTCTCCCTGCTCAGTGTTAATAGGAACAGCGCAGAGTGTGTCTCACCGTGAATGAACCTGAATATTATCATGACCTTGTCGAGAATCCTCTCCAGCTCCTCGTCTGTTGCTTCTTTATTACCCGCTCTCAATTTTGAATCAACATGTTTTGCTGTGAGAGTAAAAGTTTACAGTATTTAAAAAACAAGTATTTCTTATATAATACATTTTCTAAATAGGAAAAAAGAGCATCTTTAATTTCTACAAGCAAAAAGTAGACAGCAACACTCTAGAACCTTTCCAAAAAGATATTATTTTATGACAAAAGGCAGATCATGTGAATTTTCTATGAGAAGTATTTTCAAGTCATGGGAGATAAATAATTATACCGCTGCTCCAGCAACGGGAGGGCCCCACCTTCCAGATGTAGCATCCCTGAACACAGGCCTCTCGTACCTGAGACCACAGATTGGCCATGCCTTCCAGAAGCCCACACTCCAGGAGTTCAATACCCACCTCTGGAGAAACCACAATCCAGAAAGTGGTATGAAGGCCAAGCTAAACCGCCTTGTGAATTTTTTGTTTGGTTGCTGACTTTTTCTTTTTTAAAGATTTAATTTTTTTTTAAGTAATCTCTACACTCAATGTGGGCCTTGAACCCACAACACCAAGATTAAGAGTCGCACGCTCCACTGGCTGAGCCAGCCAGGTGCCCCTTTCGTCGCTGCTTTTATTAGTTTTTTCCCTTCACAATTTTTTCATTATGAAATCCTCTGAACATACACAGAGGTAGAAACTGCACAATGAACCCCACGTCCCCATCACATACCCTCAACAGTAGGAAGTTCAACGCTGAATCACTGTACTTACTACATCTTTCTTTGCCCTTTGCCTAAAAACTTCCACTGACTAGTGAGAGTCTATGAATCCCAAAATATGCTTTGCTATTATCACGACATAATTGTATAAAGTGATAATTTAAAAACTGCTTCATCTTAAAACGTGATCTTTTAAGACCACATCCAATTTTACCCTATTTTAATGCTGGTGAGATAACGCGAAGACAGGGACACACTAACGTCTCCATGCTAATTGGTCACGTCACCCTCGTAACGCCGAGGCACTCGTATATAGCAAACCCTCTTCTTCCGATCCCAGAGCGCAGATCAGCGGCCGTGCTCCAGACAGAACCAGAAGCACCTCTGTACTCTCTCTTCCTTCTTCTGTGACATCAAGCTGCCACTTGACAAAATCACTGCTCCGTTCTCCCTTATAAATGCCGTGTGTGCTTCTACACACACATGATAAGTATACACACAACCCTTCACCCTCCCCAAGGGGAGCTTAAAGATTCTGGGGAAAGCTTAAAGATTGCTTAAATTCTGCTTTCTTTTCCCATATTAAAACAACGTCTGGAAATACGTTTTCTACCTATCAGTTCTGCGGGCTTATTTGGCCTCTTATTGATAAACGTCTCAAAGGACTCCTTCATCAAGTTGATGAACTTCTCGTTCCTCTGGAAGCATGCTTCTATCACGTGGTCCACTCGGTCCTTAAAATCCAGCAGGTCCTGTACCATATCTTTGTCTTTCTCAGGATTGATGACAATTGTTGTCCCGAAAGTCTACAAGAACACACACACCGCATCAGTGGCAGGTAATGGCACCACACATGTTCTCCTGAGACTTTAATAATCACCGTTGGTGTTAAATACTAAATCGTTTCAAAAGTTCCACAAATTCAGTGTACGTTCAAGAAGTTAAGTGAATATGCAATTAATGCTTCAGTGTTTGAATCCTGCTTTTGAAAAAATTTGTGAATTAGTGGGAAAATGTCCACTGCTTAAAAACAAAAACAAAAATAAACTTTTACTGGGGCACCTGGGTGGCTCAGTCGGTTGAGCGTCCAACTCTTGATCTCAGCTCAGGTCATGATCTCACAGTTCGTGAGTTCAAGCCCCATACTGGGCTCTGTGGAGATTCTCTCTCTCCCTCTGCCCTCCCCAACCAACCCCCACCCCCTGCCCAAAATAAATTAACATTTTAAAAAAACCTGAAAACTTTCACTTACAAATTTCTCAGACGTTCCCATTAACCCAACACACCTACTTGGACTTCTTGACTAGAGTTTCCTTTTTCTTCCACTGCTAACCAAAGCCCAGTTTTAGGCTGCATTTTTAATTGAAAAATGCTATATTAAACATCACTAGAAGTCTATTATGTGACAATAATAGTTAGCTGTTTGATGATATAAACTTTGGTAGATACAATTATACTATTTGATGTGTTTAGAGGAGGGACAGAGACAGCAGGCCCCAAATGGAGTCACTGTGCTAAGCCTCACGTCAGCAAACCAGGGCTTAACACCTGACCTAACTGAGGTTTTGGCCCCTCCGAGGAACAGAGTCTTCAAGCACTCAATCACTAGGCTTGTCAGCACTAGTGACGTCATCTGCCAGACGGTTCCCTGTCATCCCCTCAGGAAGGTGACCTTGCCACAAGCAATCAGTCTTTGCCAGGATAACTTCCTAGTCCTGCCCTGTCCTGTCTATAAAAGGCTTCCCTATCACACAGCTCCCCGAGGCTCCTTTCTATCGGCTGGATGGTACCAAATAAAGCCAGTAAGATCTTCAAAATTCCCTCAGTCCAATTTTGTCTTTTCAGATATGTACTTTGGGAAAACTGGTCTTAATAGCATACGTACACATACTTACGTATCCTATACATAAGTGAAGGCAGATTACTGGCAAAATGGTACAAATGAAACTGGCAGCGATCCCTTCTGGAGAGGGACACGGTATGCCCAGCTGGGGTGGGAGGGATTTTCCTCCATACACTTCTGTACTGAGTGCATTTAAAAATAACACACACACACTGCCAGGGATCAGCTTCACTGTGATAACGACACAGTGTAGAACATAATCTCCACTCCTGTCAGTGTGACTGCATGTCGCTGACGGACACTCAGGAACAGCGGTCACACCACTGATCTCTAAGACCTGGACTGCATGCGTACAGGGGAGCTCTCACGTTCAGCACACGTTCCTGCTCCTAGGGCTACTCGTCAGCAAAGCCCTCGTTCTCCAATCTTTCTGGAACATACAGTTCTGTTGCTGGCGTGAGTTGGTAACCACGTCCAGCTCCATGTTGTTGTGTACAAAGTATCAGGGGGTTGTGCCTGTGGGCATGAGCTTCCCAAGTGGAGGCAGATAAGCAATCTTAGGACTGATTATTCCATAAAGCAGCATGCGTGCAAGCTTTCCATCATCCTTTCTATATAACTGAACTTTCTGTGACCACTACAGATTCACGTGCAGCGGAAAGAACAGAGATCCCTCCTACACTTGGCTCAGCTCCCCCTGATGGCAATATCCGGCAAAGCTGCAGAATGGTATCACCACCAGGATCCTGGCACTGGCACACTGCGTCCAGCTCCTCCAGGCTGCCCCCCCCCCCCCCCCCCCCCCCCCCGCCCCAGAGTATGCTGTTCCCCCGACTTGTCACCAGCACAGCCTTGTGCGCCCCCACCTCCTCCGTCAGCATGAGGGCCCTGCTGCTGCCTTCCCATGACCGTATACAGACGCGTCACAGAAACATCACAGCACTGTGACAGTAACGGATCTGGATGGTGGGAGACGTGGCAGCACACATGCCACCAAATGGATACACCAAAACGTGTAACCATTCTCATGGTCGATGAGCAAAGGCATGAGGTGTTTAAAAATCAGATGCACAGAAATGCGACTTTTTGAAAGTTGTGGCTGTACGTGGCACCGGAGCCCAGGCAGGTGACCGATGGCAGCCTTTAATGACGTTTGGCTGTGGGGTGCTCACAGGCGGGGCCATCTTTCAGAAAAGGTTTGCCTCAGTCATCGGGGAGGAAACGCAAGACTGCTGTCCACCCGAGCCCCCGCCTCGAGAAGAGCCCCTCCCCACGTCGGGAGCCACACGGCCGGGAGACAGGACACTGCCCTCCACAGGCACGGTCACCGCGCATTACAACAGCCCCACGCACCTTGATGTACTCGCTCCAGTGCTGCAGCAGGACCTGCTGCCCACCCTTCACGCGGCTGAACAGCTGGTACATCTGGGTGAGGTCGGGCACTCGGTTCTCGTCCAGCAGCTGGTCGAGCCCTGCGACGGCACAGCGAGCGTTAGGGCGGCTCGGGGGTCCATGTGTGAACGGGCGCCTCACACGTGTGGGGCCGACCCCTGTCCTCCGTGGGTGAGAAACAGTCCTACGCGGCCCCATTGGCCAGGCCCCACCGCCAGAGGACGCTAGCGGCCGTGCTGCTCAATTCAGGTCGCCAGAGCCCCGGTCCCACTAACACAGCGGCCAGGCCAGTGCCCCTGGGCACCTCTATCATCGCTCAGAGAGCAGATCTGGGGGCCCGAGTCTAACCTGTCAGGTCATCCACTCTATCCGCTTATGCGATAAGCCATGGGAGAGAAGCGTCTGCTGTCCGTTGGGGATTCTGAAGTATTTAACATAGCACTTTTGGGGGTTTTCCTGTTTTAGGTATTTAGATTTTTACGAAGCCTTTCTAAAACAGTATGGAAATCAGGAAGAGAAAACTGTCTAAGATGTCTGCTTTGTGACAGCCCCGCAGAGGCTGCGAGGCCAGGCGTGGGGAGGTGTGAGCCATGTGACTCAAGTCTCAGGTTCTTCTGTCACGTGGGCACAGTGTCCACACATCAAAGGAGGTAAACAGGTGCACACAGGTGCGTCCTGGGGCCAGAATCACACATCTTTAGCAAGGGCTCCGAATGTTTATTTCTCCGAATTACATTCTGACCTAGTGATGCAAATAATTTTTTTTGCAAATAATTTTTTATAATTTATCCTACTGAAACCCTAAATGTCTTTCTTCAAGAACTCAAAAACTACAGCTTCTCATTTTTCAAATGTCTCTTAATAAAATTTAGATTAAGCTTGTACCTAATTTGCTATGTTCTTGGAAGACTTTATGCAAATTTCTACTATTTACTTAAAGTCATTCATCCTAAGACTCCTTTCAGAAAATACCTAGTATGGGGTTTGAACACACTTGCTTTAGGCGGACAGTAAATCCAGACCTCGTCCGTGTGAATGATTCCCAGTGCAGAAGGACAGAGATCCAGATTCGCACCTGGACCTTGGCTTAGGGGCTGTGCTTGGAGGCACCTGTGTCAGGCTGTTCGGAGCCGCTTTCCTTACTTGTATGATGGGGTCATGACTTCACAGGGTGGGGAGGGGGGGTTCCTGGGCCTAGAAGATACCGGCACTCAGTAATGCCAGCTCTCCCCTCCTGGCTTTGTTCTGGTTTCACGTGGAGACCCTATGCTCAGGTGTCTCATTACAGATAATAACCACCACCTGGCAGAGCAGAGTCCAAATCAGAATATATTTGGCTATTTATTTTTCTTATAATTTATAATTTACGTCCATAATTCTGGGCCTCCCCATAATTAAGCTTTAAGGTCTCCAACATCTTGAAATAAATCCTGTAGCTCCATCATGACTTTCAAATGGTAACATTACACACCTAATAGTTATACAAAGTACTGTGAAGGACTGAAAAGGGGGAGACCGTGCGCTCTGAACCCCAGAGAACTAAGCACACTGTGAAGGGCACAGACACAGAAGACAGGCGGGACGCTCCTCCGGGACACACAGTAGCTGCTGGAACCACCCTTACCAGGGCCTGACGAGCAGCACCAGGGATGTGGCGCAAGAGGGCACGCTGCCCAGTCAGCAGTGCTGCGCCCTCCCTCTGCCAGAGGAGGGTTTGTCCGGCATACTTGGGACTCTGGCCGAAGTCCCCAGCCACCTGGCAGTTCACGTGGTGTTCAGCCTCTTGGGGGGCGTGGGGAGGAAGCCCCACCACAGCCGCGCAGCCCGTGCGCACCCTTGGGAGCTCTGTGCCTGCCAGCGCCCGTAGGCACCGCACAAGGACCCAGCTGCAAGCTGTCTGCGGCCCAGGGGGTTTCTCAGCAGCTTCAGCTGAGACCAGCATGTCCTGTGATTTCTTGATTTCTACCAGACGCCTTTCCCGGTGTTTCCAGGGCTAACATGCTCGTTATTGCCAACGATTTTTAGTGACTGTCTCATCGTAATGGATGTCCTTAAGCTGGTATTTACGCCGTTTCACTCACTTCCTTAAAATGTCAAGGGCGACCATGCAGGGTAACTTGACACAAAAGTTAGGAAAATCTACCTTTCTGCAGAATTGCTGTCAAATGTTCTCCTAACAGCTGTTTCTCCACACAAGCAATCAATGGTTTCCTATTATGAGGCAAAAAGACAAGGTGTAAGCAATTGATGGAGAGACTTTGATCACCTGTAAAGATGGGGCATTTACTGTCTACACACCTGACACGGAGTTAATCAGAACAGCCATCTCCCTGCTGTCCATGAGGACTCTGAAATCTTTCTAAAGACAATCTTACTGGACAACAGAGATCAGGGGTCCAGGGAAAAGGAGACACCAGCAGACAGTCAAGTGCCCTGCACCCCCATGCCTGGCTGGCAATTGTCAAAACAAAGCTTTGCCTTTTGGATTCAACGAACACTGGCCCTGTCCCCCACTCTGCGGCCGCCCCTGCTCCAGGCCCCACAACCTCTACATGGACAGGCCTGCCCCCTCCCATCACCACTTATCAAGGAAGCTCCTCTGTGAGGCCCACACTACGGAAGTGTCACATCGAACAGAACATTTGAAACTCTGAAACATCGCCAAGTGTGACTGCCACAGTCATGGGGACATGCACAACTGTCCTTCCTGAGTACGTATTCCATAGTTCATGTTGTTTTAGTTTTTCTTAATCAGACATGTGCTTTAGTCCCAAGATTATTAACTTCGGGTATCTTCCCAAGTCTTTGCTTCATAAAGAACTTTACAATGGCCCACCTTAAACCTAACAGCGACCCCAGAGAAAGCACATACCCCCCTCGCGAGAGAGCAGAGGTCAGGGACTGTGCCCACTGAGAGGTGAGGGTCTGCCTCCGGGAGGGGCAGCATGATGACGGGAGGTGGGGGCGGAGGTCAGAGGTCAGGGGCTGACAGCAGGGAGGGCCAGTAGTGCACGGATCCTCCTCCAAACAGCTTCAGCGGCACGTCACCAGGGGGCAGCAGGTGGTTTCTCCTTGTTGACTACTGAGTAACGCTGCCTGAATATTTGCAAGCAAGTCTTGCGGATGTTTTTACTTATCTATTTGGGAGTAGAACTGGTGTGTTGAAAAAACACCTAGCTCTGTCTACCACTCTGGGGAGTTGAGGAGCTAACGATCCGTCTTCTGGGCAGCTGCCCATGTTCCTACTGACCATGCACGGCGGTTCTGACTTCTGCTGGTCCTCGCCAGGGCTTCGTGCTGTGTGCCTTTTTTACTCAAAAGCCATGGTGGCAGGCATGAGGTGGAACCACACTGGTTTTGATGTGCAGTTTCCCGATGACTGGCTTCGCTGAATGACTTGTCCTGTGCTCACGGAACCACTGCCTCCAGGAGGCGGGCAATCTAGACTCCATCACCGTTTCCATTCCAACAGCCCATGCAGCACCCACATGAGCCCGGGTGCCATTGACAGGTCCCAGCAGAGCCCAGGGCAAAAACTGCAGGCCCCTCGAGCCCAGAGGTGCAGTCCTGGGGAACGCGCTGCCTCAGCACCCAGGTGCCCAAGAATCGACCTTATAATCTACAGTGACAAAATGACAATCTACCGACTGTGCCAAGCAGCAGGAGAGCGGGTCCTTCCCACACTGAGGGATGAGAGTCCCTGGGGTAGGGCCTGCCGGGTGACCTGGCTGTGGTGTCCAGCATGAGGCGGGTCACAAGGTGCAGTTCAAAGCAGTGCCCCGCTGCCCTCAAGCATGCTCCACGTCTGGGATGCCGTCTACTGTGCTCTGAGGGCGTGGGGGCAGGAAGGGGCATGTGGAGCCCAGCGCGAAGGCAGGTGTGGCTTGCTCAGCCGTGGCTTCCCTCTTCTGTCCTTGACAGCAACTGTTTATTTTGTGACATCTGAATCACCCAGCGCGGCAGGAGCTGCCTCAGTCAGTGCGCCCTCCATCCACCTGTGCTCGAGCCCAGAGGCGAACCACCTTTATCTGTTATTCGTTTGCTTAAATAACTCACATATACTTGTAAGCAATATACTTTTTAAAATTGGGGGGAGAAATTTCAAATCTAGCATATGCACAGGGGTGGATGAGCACGTGTGAAAAGGAAAAGGACTGCTGTGCCCAACGCCTACAGGTCATAAGGTAGAAGGCCCCAGCGGCCCCCAAGGCCCCAGTGGCTCCATCCTGAACTGGGCGGGTGATTTGCTTGCTGTTCGCCATGATTTACCATGTATCTCTCTCCCTGAAGTTCTTGAACTTCACAGTATATGGAAAACATCAACAGAAAAAAATGTTCCAGATACTTAGCGAAGACTCTTATCCAACCTTGATGTGACCTACTGGCACATCATTTTCCCTCCTACTCCCTGTGCGTCCCTGCTGCCGACCTCCAGCCCCTGACTCCCTGGTCCCCAGGGGACCCGGAACACAGCTGTCCTGGCTTCAGCACGACCATCCTTCTATGTAGACCTGGGGCTCCCCATGGGCCCCTCAAATGTCTAAAGCAAGCTCACCTTTCCTCTCCTGACCCTCTGTTCTCTGTATTCTCAAGGTGCCACATCGGTGCCCCTCTCATCCTGCCTGCCCCACTGCACTTTCTACCCTTCAGTCTCTTCTATCTCTGGTTTCTCTTAACTCTCCTCACTTGAATAAATGTTACGTGCAGGGTGAGAAACAGACATCCACACAAGTTTTCTATTTTACTTTTCCCTAGCTGCTTACCAACTTCAGGTTTAGAGAAAACAAAAATTAGATGAGAAGAAAAAATAATGTGACTTGATACCATAAATAAAAATTACAGCTACATTCCACGTCTAACAAAAAGTTTACAACCCAAAGTGCCCGACACTCAATTATACTCCATCAACATAAATAGAATCCCTTGTCACTAAACCCCAAGATGCCAAGTTCCTCAGCCTCAAGTACTCCTTTCGGATGAGAACTCACTGAGAACTCACAACAGGGCACTTGTTGTGACTCACAGGTGCTGGATAATCACAAATAACATAAGCGAAACGTGCTAACAACAAAGATATTCTGATAGTACTGGCTGAGTCCACGAAGACAGCGTTTATTTCAATAAACAGCCAGGAACAGGGCGGGCTACGGCCACGCCGTGAGAACTGAGTAAATGAATGGTACTCACTGTGTGCTGTGGTCTAGGTACGTGATTACTCGGTCTCCTTCCTCCTCTAAACGCTTACTTACGTGGTTAAGATATTCTGGAACCTTCCAAACACAACATTTAAACATGTCAGTAACAAAGATTTTATTTTTTTTTTAAGTAACAAAGATTCTTGATGTTACCCAAGAAGCTGAAACACTGTTGTCCACAGAAAAATTAAAAAAACAAAAAAACCCACCTTATATATTCAAGGCAAGTATGAGAACAGATGAACGGGGGGGGGGGGGTCGTGAAGGTGGGCAGGATACATAGTATAGAGTTTCCTGAAACTCAGTTCTGGACAGTAAAAGTGACCTCTAGAGTGAGGGCAGGGCAGCCCTTCTTTGCTGTGTCCCGCTCACCGTCAAGCTCCTGGGATGAGGCCGTGGGTCCCTGCCATCACTGAGGCCCTATGGGCAGGCGAGCAGCAGCACTCAGGTCAGAGGGTGCAGGCCTAATGGCATCCCCTGGCCCCAAACGAGTGGGGTCAGCAAAAGCTAATCGACAGACTGGGTGTTCACTTGGGGAGGCCAAACAGCACGGATGCAGAAGATCTCCAGAGGCAAAGGGCATTCCTCCTGTCACCTGACGGCCTAGGGGGCCCCCTAATACGGTCTCTAGCGCTCTGACCCAGTGGTGGCAGCAAGGCTGGGTACCGCACATAATGTGTCCTCTCCAAAACCGGGATGGAGAACCAACGGTCAGTTCATCCTGCGCGACAACGATCAACATTTGGGGGAGGGTCCCCAGGGGCTTCCTTCAGTCTCTGCTCTAACTGCTTGCCAAGATTTTGGGTTCATATGGCTACTGTTATATGTTTTTTCCGGTGGTCTTTTGGGTAATTTTTTCCAAAGCCTCATACAAATGGAAGATTTGGGGTGTGCTTGGGTCATCTTTACAGTTAAGATTTCCTTTTATCCTCTTGTTTTAACTTGAGTTACTTTACATGTAGAAGCTACCTTACTGGCTTTTTCACTTGGCAGGGGAAGGGCAATAAAAAAGTTTCTAAGTCAAGGGCGCCTGGGCAGCTCAGTCGGTCGAGTGCCCAACTTTGGCTCAGGTCATGATCTCACAGTTCGTGAGTTCAAGCCCCGCGTCGGGCTTTGTGCTGACGGCTTGGAGCCCATTTTGGATCCTCTGTCCTCCTCTCTCTCTGCCCTTCCCCAACTCGTGCTTGCTCTTGAAAATAAACATTTAAAAAAAGTTTCTAAGTTATAAGAAATTAAGTCTTTACTGTAAGAACAATGAAGGCTGTGACTGAGAATTTCAGCTAGATTGTGGCTTTCAGAAGATTTCTTATAAAATGTTTGTGTATGTGGAAAGACAAACTTTTAAAAATTAACTTAAACGCACTTCTTTAAAAAGAAATAAGGTGACTCAGAAGTACCTCCTTGTCTTACCTCTCTTTCTTGCATTAATCTCTGGCCTTCTGCAGCATATAAACAATTAGTTTCTTCCAAAAATTTCACTTCAAATGAATCTTTATATACCTAAGAAAAGAGCAAAGTTACTGGCCAATTACAGAAAAGAAACCTACCTTTGGAAGTGCTGATAATCCAAGCTTTTGAGGGAGCATGGCTGCGGTGACTTGCCCTAAGGAGTTGCCTGTGTGCCTCTCCTCCAGAGGCCTGGGCAGATCGGCCCGGCTCATGGGCTCCTTAAGGGCCTGGGCAGGAGGCACCGCCCTGGCCTTGGAGCACTGGGTCTGTGTCCTAAGGGAACTTTCCTCTGTGGTTCCTGATCTGGCATTAGCCTGACAGTCACTCCTCTTGCTCATTTTTAACAGCCACTTTTATTATTTTAGTTTTTTGCATTTAAATCTTTCCTACACCAGTTTATTTTGGTATAAGTAGTACAGACTATCAGGAAGTATTGGGGCGTTTAGGACAGGGCAGATTACCCGAGGTCAGATAGCAAACTCAGCAGATATAGATACAGACTAGTAGGAGTTATTGGTAAACGTTTAGGACAGGACAGATTACCTGAAGGTCAGAGAGCATACTCAGCAGACTTCTTAACAAACTCCGATCCACGGCTTCACCACTTCTTTCTCGTTCAATTAATAGCAGAATCCCGTCAATACTTTTACTCTGAACCATTTTATCACTAATGATATGGTTTCTAAAAAGCTCCAATCCCATATCCCTGTACAAACAGTAAAAACAAGACTAGATTTTAGTTTCATTTTAGAAGTTCCAGGTGAAGCTCCAAGCTACGCTGTGCCTGTTAGCCCAAACTGTTGATTTGCTAATTCTCTCAATCCACCTGTCAAGTACTCCTTTGTTGTGTTTTCATTTGTGGCCAGCCTACTGTGCCTTGTATTTGCTTTCTTATCAAGGCTGTGTCCTGGGGTGGGTCAGGCATCACTGAGAAGTACGTCAATCTGGGAACAGCTCACATCCTTCTTCCTGGGGCGGGATCACACACTCGCCACCTGGCTGGCCCTATCCTTCCCTTTTCCGTCTCTGGTCCCTCTCCAGAGCTTGCCATACACCTCTTCCTCTGATGGCACCCGATCCCCTCCGTTGGCGGCTGGAGTGTGAAACGCACTGCGAAGAGGCCACCACACGCCCTCCACTTGTTGCTGAGGAATTCAGGAGGAAACCAGCTCTCGGCAGTTGTGCAGACACCAAGGGATAAAAGGTCCTGTGCTCTGTTCAGACAACTCCACAGGTCCCCCAGGAGCCAGATACCGAGCAGACAGACACAACTCAGTGCCTGGACCCAGCAGGATCTTCTGAACGGGCAGTGGGGGGCGGGAGGGGAGCGGTGAGCAGTAGACAGGTGAGTGCGGATTCTGGGGAGCCCCACCTGTGGTGAAGCCTTTCCTCCAATGCACACCACAAAAGGCCTTTCTGGTTCCCTGCAGGAGGTGCAGGCCTGGGTCTCGTGTGCACTTGGAGGACACAGCAGTCAAGCACAGCGGTCAGTCGTGGGGGCTCGAGCCGGCCGCCTGGGTTTGACTCCTGACCCCAGCCCCTGCTCACGGTGCCTCTGGGTCTCTGCCTGTCCTTCCCTAACAGCAAATGGCATCACACACACTGCTTTACGCCCGTAAACCCTTTCCACACTGGGCGAGGCAGGTAGCAGGTGCGGTACGGAAGAAGTGTTCACTGTTGCTCCGCTTCTTCCTAAAATCTCAATCTCCGCTTCCGGCTTCAGCTGCTCCCCACAAGCCATCGAGCAGTCTTCTCGATCCACGTCTCTGCCTCCCCCACAACCTGTGTGTCCTGGGCGGCTCCTGTTTCCACACAGACCACACTTCAAACTCGCTGCCCCCTCCCCTCCACTACCACCTCTCCTACCTCAGCCCCTCACCAGTCCTGCTGGCTCTGCGAAGCTCAGGCCCAGACCAGGGCTCAGCCTCCTTCCGCATCCTGCCTGGGGCGTCTCATACTGCACTGTCCCGCTCAGGTTTTCTGTCTCTGACAGTGGCCCGAGGCTGCTATCGCTAGGCTGTGAGCAGGGCTTACAGTTTATACAACACGTTATGTTATAAACTATGTTCACAAATGAAGTTCTGACCCGGCAGCCCCACAAGCTGGGAGCACTCTGCCTCAGTTTCTCCATCTGTAGAGTGGAGGCGATAATGGTCATCCCCTGCAGAGCTGTACCACAGACTAAAGGAGCAGGTGCCAAACCTCTTAGAACAGTGCTTTGTAGAGTAGCAACCACGTGACCTTCCGTTATCTTCAGTTACATGCTTGCTGTTTCTATGAACAAAGGCTACCCTTTCTGCAGCCGTGTGTGGAAGCCTAGCACAGTGCAGGTGCAGACGCCAGTAAGAGAACGAGGAGCAAAGTGGTGCTGAGGATGGACAGACATCCAACCAGGAGTGTCCAAAGCTGCACAGATGGGCGGGAACATGAAATAAAGACAAAAAGTGTCCGTGGGTCTGGTAAGCAGGGGTCACGGACACCTCAGGAAGGGCGGTGTCTGTGCCTCAGGTCAAAGGAAACAGACGCAGAGGAAACTGAAAACAAAGCACCTTGTTAAAGAACTTGGGTTTAAAGGGAATGGGAGAATGGGCTTCTATGCCAACAGAGACCGGAAAGAAGCCGAGGGCGACATCAGGGACAAGTCTGATCAGGAGGCAGGAGCGGGAGCCTCAGGGGCAGGTGGAGTGGCAAATGGCATCAGCAACAGGGTGTGGAAGTCAGTGACGAGCACCCAGAGCCACAGGGCGGGAAGTCCCTGAAAGATGCTGTGTGATTGACGAGCAGACTGAAACGAGGTCTCCGTATCTGTGGTCGGTCAGCCGGATGGGGAGCTGTGGGGGACTTCAGGGCCCCGGGCCATGACCTCACCAGCCTCGGTCTTCTCAGAGCAGGGCGGCTGCTGGAGTCAGTGAGCGCCTGGGCCTCTCCGTCCCAGCCAAGGTGAACCGTGTGCCCTTGGTTCCAGATGGCCCTGGCGTGCGGCGCCCAGGGACAGAAATGTGGCTTCCCACAGTCCTGCTGTGTTTGCCCGCCACCTGTACTGTGACACTCACTGCAAGCTGGTCAGGGTGCCCCAAGGGGCTCCTCCTAGGCATGGCCGGCCCGGCTCGGCCCCCTCACTCCGGGGCTAAGGTACGCCTCGGCCTGGACAGGTGCGCTAGTGATTCTGGCTGACATGAAGGAGCACAGACACGGCCCTACTGACCAGGACACTCACCAGATAGAAGGAAGCATGGAATTCTGCAGTACATAAGTGCGGTCCAAAAACAGGAAAATACTTCTGATCATGATCTGGCAATTAGAAAAGCATTTATTTATGTAACTTACTAACTAAATATCCAAGAGTAGGCCTTCTGAACTATAACTGGTAGCTGTCTCAAATCTTACGGTAGTTGTTTCTTGAGGATTCTCCCCACCAAGACCTTCATGATTGATTTTTCCCCCAAATTTAATTGCTCCTTTGGTGTTTGATTTTCATCTCTTTTGTCCAGAAAATCTGACTATAAGGGAAATCTGGTCACTTCCTGCCTGATGTGGTAAACCTCACAAACCTGAAGAGATGCTCTAAGCTTTTTAAATAATTAGTCCTTGTCACATCGGCATGAGGCTCTTGGCCACATGTTTGACTCTCTTTGGCAAGCCGAGCGAAGACGACACAGGACCACCAGGAACCTTGTGATTCTCCTAACATAGCCTTCCTAACAGACGTTTATCTCTTCTGACCATGTACCAGGTGCCTGGCCTGGAAAAGAGGTTCATTCATTGTCCCCTACTCACCTCCTTATTAGGAAAGGTACTACTACCATGTTTTCCCCCACAGCCAGGTCATGCTAAAAACTCACATGCATAAAAACAGATCAGAATCAATACATCTGCAAAGTCTAAGACTTTGGCTGTCCAGTTACAGTAAAAACCTGGAAGTCAGGCTTGATTATCAGGCATAAAGTGGGATTAAGAAAAACTTTAGAGACCCATTCAGGAATCAGCTCAGGTACCGTGGGCTGTCAGGTGGGTTTGAAGGTCAAATTAGCAGCTGGCCCCAATCCAGAAATGCAGCCATTCACACAGGCAGCTTTTCCCTGCCCTGTTGTCCTACTATGTTGAGCTGGATGGCAGCATCTGACCCAAAACAGAATCCCAAACAGCACTTCCCTATTTCGGCCCACAGTCTGGCCCACACTGTCCTCAGATGGGTGAGGGAAGATGGACGAGGCCATCTTTGGTTAGAAAGGGGGGGAAAAAAAAAGACAGCTGGACTGAAAGAGGCACACCCTCCCAGCTACCCAATCCCCTTCCTGCTTAGCTACAGCAGAGGGTGACAGGACCAAGAGGAAGTGCGTCGGTGAGACCAGACACTGGGCTCTACCGATGAAGATTATGGAGATTATGGGACAGCACACTGTCCCTAAAACCAGGGTTAACAGAAAAGTCAATACGCTTACCATTTGTCTGCAATGATCTTGCCAGCATGTGTTAATCTTCTTTAAAAATAAAACACTATCTAGTGAGTCTGTGCAGACCTGCTAAGGAAAACTTTAGAAATGCTGGCCAATTATTACAGCTTTAACCCCATAACTGCAGCTCTTGACACAGAATCTACACATCATTTTGTTGTCAGAATACAGAAGGACCAGGGGCATCTGTGTGACTTAGTCGGTTGAGTGTCCGACTCGACTTCGGCTCAGGTCATGATCTCATGGTTTGTAAGATCGAGCCCTGCATGGGGCTTTGTGCTGATTGTGCAGAGCCTGCTTGGGATTCTCTCTCCCTCTCCAAAAATAAACAAACTTAAAAAAAAAAAAAAAGAATACTGAAGGACCAGAGGGACCACAGGTGCAGGTTTTCTGCATCGCTGAACTGTGTTCCCAATTTGTGATGAGCCTCCAGCCACAACCCCAACTTTCCCGTTCCCCTCGTTGCTGTTATGGCCAGGTTCCTTGTAGAGCCCTGCTGGCTGAATTAACCACCAGGTCACAGGCTTCATGAATCTGGGTGGCTGGACCTAAGGGCCTATCCTGCAAAGGGTGGTGGGGACAGACCCCAACCTGCACTGTTCCAGTGGTGACAAAGCAGGTCGACTATTAACAGCACCAGGGAACAGGCAGTTGGAGGGAGGTGGCTGAGGTTTAACTTTAACCTATATTCTCAATGAGAACCGATATGAAGTCTCATTCATGCACCAAATTAGAACACTCTCACCTCGATAATTAGAATGTGTTTTTTAAGAAGGCTCAACATACTGCTTATAGAAAAAAGAAAACTCCAACACGGACTCCTAGAGCAAACTACAGCCAAATGCATCCAACACGGCCTTCACAGGTTTGGGCAAAGTCATTGTCATAAATGTCTACACGCTGCCTATGGCTTACAAAACTCCCCACGTTTGTGCGCCTCCAGTTTCCCCAACCGCACGTTACACATGCTGCTCCCTCTGTACAGTCCCAGCTCCAGGACCCTGGGCCAGCGATGAACTTCCCTTGACCTCGGTTTCTTCAGAACTGGTGTGAGGTTACATGTAAAATCCACAGCACGTACAGAAGCAGCGCATGGGCCAAGGTGTGAGCTGTGAAATCAGACAGGTGTCAGAGTCTTCAGTCGGCAAGGCGGTCTGATGGAGCGAGGGGAGCCAGGGGAGGGGAGGACACAACTAGGACTTTGGAAAGAGGACAGAAGATCGGGAAGCTGTAAGGAACTGACAGGCACACGTGCATCCTTGTCATCCAAGTAAGGAGAGCTGACCTCAGCCACAGTGGTCCTGGCCACACATCTTATTTTCTCCTAGGGCTTTGCTAATAAATCACAAATAGTAAATCCTAGCAAAAACCTAGTCGTTCAATGGTTAACATGTTATTCCGGAAGAAATCTTTTATGACTGCTCAAATTTACAGTGGCCTACAATATGAGAACCTGACACAGACAGTCTAAAAAAATGAAGAGTAAGTCACAAACACACGTAGCAGGGACCCAGCAGCTCTGGCACCCAGTGCTGGACACAAGCCAATTGCTGACACCCTGGCAGGTCTCCAAGGCAGTCTGCATCAGCTGGGGGGCCAGGCTCTGTCGGAAGGTGGGGCTGCCCAGGGTGAGACTCCCACTAGCCAGTCCCACACTGCCGGATGGTGCAGGCGCCAAAAGCGAGCAAGGAGCACTCGGCCCGGCACAGGGCTTCCTTGGGAGGGAGCGGCCCTGCGTGTAGGGCTTACTACACGAGATGCTTCTCCTCAATTAGCTGGGTGAAGCCGTCACTTGCGGTTGTTTCCCATGGAAAACAGTACGAAACGGTAAGGCCGGCATGCACCGAGCTCCAGCCGTCTACATACCAAAGCCCAGAGCCTCACATGAGCACCCTTGGGGCGTTAAGACATACCGCCTGTCATCATAGGCTCCCAACACTGTCCCCTCCTGTCTGGAGAAGGGCCAGGCCTAGCTAAGGTTTTAAGCAGTGTACTGAGAGGGGTCGGTCAGGTGTCAAACAGCAAACACGGAATGCCCTGTGGCAAAGTGCGAATACATGTGCCCGTGACTACAAGGATTCAACAAGAAGGAAAAAACCCAAAAGACAGCGCCCACGCCAAGTAGAAGAGTGACTGGTTCTCTTTTCGTCCACGCTGTCTAAGCCAGGTTACCCCACTCTCCTACCCCAGCAGAGTGTGCAGAAGGACAAGCCGCCCTCACCCCGGCCCACCACCTGACACCCCTCACCTCAATCAGGTCTGCCTGCTATGACCGCAGAGGACATTTTCTGCCACAACATTTGTCACAGTTCACAGTTTGGACGATTGAATTATTGCCTCCCTCATTAGCCTACAAAGTCCACAGAGGCAGGAAGCCTGTCACGTTCACCTCTGAGCCGCAGCACTAACCAAGGGTCGCGCCGTGTAGACACACAAACCCAGTCTGCTGCCGGCGCTCCACACGTGCACGCAGGCTACACGCTGCTCACGGAGGGTCTTCGTAAAGAAGCCCAAAGCCTGCCGTCATCTACGGAGTAGGAAGACACAGGAAATTGTGAACACGCCGGTCACCTCTGTCCTTCTGCCGCGTGGACCACGCTGCTGCTATGTGGGACTCCACACGGATGCCACAGGCTGGCAGGCTGGCCCTTCTGCGGTTCACCACAGTGGCGATGCCCTAGAGCTGAGTTGGGGGTGGGAAGAGTGAGTTCTGTGCACAGGTGCTGGCCGGCTCAGATTCCACTGAGAGCCGGTTGCTGTCATAGAAGAGGAGCTTTTGAACTGAGCCTGGGTGCGTGGCGCAGCCTCCTTTCTGCACCGAGTGATGCCGGGTTCGGCATGCACTGCTTTTGGTTGAGGCGTGCATGTGCAGGAAGCCGTGGTCGTGGGGAAAGGCCTATCACCAATAGCAGGGAACTTACTTCGAAAGGAGCAGGTAAGTGCAGAATCCAAACACATGAATGAAAGAACAGAGTCAGTAGTGTAAGAAAATCACAGTAGCTGACTCAATTCCATAGGAGTCCTTTACCACCTGTCTGCCAGGGGCCTCCTGGCCTCCCTGAGCACTCCTTCCATTGTCCTCACCAGCAGCATGCGGCCAGTACAGCGGAGGGAGCAGTCCTTGGACCTTAGAAAGCAGCCACATACAAACTACAGGAACATCCCAGAGACCAGAGACACCCCAGCATGCTCTCCCTGGAGTACTCCTGCCTTGAGGGCCTGGGCATCTGCAACAGCTCTGCTGCTCGGCCCCTTGAAGTCTGGCGAGGCTACCCACCCTTTCAGCAAAATGAGCTCCGAGGGCAGGACTGTGTCCCCCATCAGCCACCCCTCCCCCTGCACACAGCCCCTCCTGGGGGCGGGCACGCACCTGACTGCCCTTTCCTTACACCCCAGGGGCTTATCCGAGCCTTTAAAAACTCCCACCACCCTGACCCATAAATGCCTACCTTTATGCCCTTGTCAGTCTCCCTGGGGTTTAAGCTCTAAAGGGCCAGAACCTACTTCACTCCTGTTTCCAGCCCCGCCCCCTTCTCTGAAATAAGGAAGTGCTACCTCTGGCCCACCTCGTCACCAGTCTCATCCTGCCTGTATCACTGCCAAACATGATACAACTGCACTGGATTCTTGCTTCAAATACCTGCAGGGGCCATCAGATGTGCACTTAAGTCCAGACCTTTCAGAGCGTGCACAAAGATTCAAACCCAAGCTGCAACTCAGAATTACGGCCTCAAATTCCACCAGTGTGCCCAGGTTCTGGCCTTGTCCCACAAGCGCCCCACAAGCGCCCCTCTCTGATGGCTCATTCTCTCTGGCTGGCCACACGCCACTGGTCCTTCATGATGGGACTCCAGTGTCCCCTCCTCTGGAAAGCTCTGCCCCAGCTGCTTCCTGCACTGCAGTTCCTGTCCCTGATTCTAATAACTTAATATCTTGGAACTCAAGATGCCTCACACCAATGACAATTCATATGGCAGAGTATCTTTTCATCTTTCTTCTTTAATGAAATACATCGTAGTTTCTAGAAACATGGTTTTGTCGCATCAAGGAAATGCAACGACCCTGCCCCCCACCTCTATCTCATCACCAGGACTACTGGGAGGGCAGAAAGGAGGCGATGCCATCATTTCCTACTGTCGGATAGAGGTCTGGACAGGAAGGAAGTCCCTGCTGAATGACTGAATTAATGAACACATTCTTGTAACCCACAAAGTAGAATTAACTGGCAGGAGGATAGTTTGATCAGGTAATCATGAAGTAGTCTTGAGTAAGCTGGGACAGCTGGGTTAGGAACAATCACAGCAGTTCACCCTAACATGTGCCTGTCCCAGAGAGGACACCTGGGAATCTGCTGGTGACTTCTGGGAAGTTCAGCCTAACATGTGTGGGCCCAGGAGAGGACACCTGGGAATCTGCTGACTTCCGGGAAGCCTGGGAGTCAGGCTCCTTTTCAGAAGTCAGCATCTCAGATGGGCTCCTGGATCCATCACCCAGCCTCTGAGAATCCTGTGCTGTGGCACTGAGGTAGGAGAGGAGCCTCTGTGTGTCCTCAGAGGATGCCTCAGAGACGTGGTGCATACTGGCCATCTTCCAAAGGTCAAATGGTATGGTCACCTTTGTCTCGAATGGACTCATGATTTCTGGTAGGAAAGAGCTCTGCCAGAATATACTGCACAGGTGCCAATACAATAGAACCAGAATGGACTCTGCTCACCCATTTACGGGAAGACCCCCTTGCTCTAGGCCATGTGGGCTTCATTGCCATGGATAATCCAGAGCTTCGACAGCAGGTGACAGAGCTGTGGCAGCTGCCCTGAGAGATTTTAGCAAACTCTGAATGCTTTAGTTTCTCAAGGGTGATGGGACAGAAAGGACTCCTTCAGCTAGAACAAGAGTTAGAAATGAGCAGGCTCCAACTACCTACTTTTGCAAATTAAGAAAGAGACCTGGAAAAGTGCAGTCACAAGCAGGTGTCTGTAATATTAAACCCACTTCCTAGTTCCCTCCCAACGAGACTAATAAAGAGGTGGGGGTGGGCTGGAGCACTGGGCCGAGGCCAGACTGTCGATAGGATGTAAGGAGCCCCGTCTCCCTGGCAGACACTGGTCCTGCGTGGTGTGCTGGCAAAACTCGAAGATGCCCGGCCACCTACTTGCCTAGACTGCCCTCCCTTGACTGGTGGGCGGGCTGGGAATACGGTGGGTTATATCTCAGAAGACTCTGTCTCAGCAGGCCAGAGAGGGGCATTCTTCTGTTGGCTCAGAAGCAGCAACTAACCATGCTGTCAAAGAAGAGGCCTTGAAGCAAAAAACCAAGGGCAGCCTCCAGGGGCTGAGAGCGACATCAGTCCTGCAACAGAGGGACAGGAGTTCTGCCTGGAAGGCGGTCTGTGGGAAAACCTAGACCGGCCAGCCCGCGGTTTCAGCCAGTGACACCCTGAGCTGAGAACCCACTGAACCGAGCTGGGACTCCCTACCCACACAACCGTGAGCCTACAAACGGGTGCTTGTTTATGTCGCCAAGTCTGCGGGAAATTTGTTATGCATCAGAGATAACTAATATAGATGGTTTTTCACAAGAATGAAGCACAGCAGAATAGAATTAAGACATTTCTCAGAAGTCTTCCTAAACACTTCAACCACACCCAATAAATGGACACTCTTTTGCTTTAATCAGATAAATAATGTAAATAATAAAAATTCCACTTAAAAAAATCTGTCATATTAGGTCACGTGAAACAAATGTTAGGTTTTGTTTTATAAATAAATGGGAATTTTGAAAGCTGTTGTTTTAATACTAACAACAGTCACTACATCTTTATCCTATTAATGTTCAGCCTCAAGAGATTTAGGTAATGCATAGAAACTCATGAGCCAAAAAAAGGATATTCTCTAAACTGAAGGATCTGTGCTTGGACATGATCTTCACAGACCTGGCGCAGCTGTTTGTAGAGTGTTGGGGAGACTTTGTGAGAACAGAGATTTTCGACAGCCTAAAAACAAAAGGAACAAGTGAATTATTCACCATGAATAACAAATTCGTTCTTTAAAAAGACCTGTGTATGTAAATAAAATCACAATCATAACAGACAAGCACCCCCTTCATACTTACAAAAACTACAAATAAACCGTTATGTTTAAGTTCAGGGTGATTATTGTCAGAATACTGGAATCCAGGAAGGGTCTGGTAAAAAAGGTAACAACAGCTAATACTGAGCACAGATTGGACGGCACACCTATGTCAGCCCATGACACCTGGGACCCCGCGGCGTCCCTGCACACATCTGAGCATCTACAATGCCCTATTTTTTTCTAGTGCAGCAGTCTCTAAACCTGGCCACTCACCACTCTTACCCGGGGACTTTAAAACAGATCTGGATGTTCCCATACATTCATCTGAGGTGGAAGACACTGGAAAGGTGGATGAGTTTACCTTGATGATTATAACATGCAACCAGGTCAGGAAATCACTGCTCCGGACCCTCAGTGACCACCTTCCACACAGGTGGGCGAGCATCAGGGCAGTTTCTGCCTGTAGCACAGTGAGGATGCTCCTGAGTGCCCAGGCCACACCGGCTACACTGTACTTGTTTCCTACATATTTTTCTGCAGGCTGCATGTGTAATTTATTTAGGCTTGTCTTAAGTTAATGAAGAAACAAGTTTTTTAAGCAGAAACATTTTTCTTAAAATACCTTTATCCACATAAAAAAATAATGTTTGCATATTCTCACTGGTTCTAATAACATTTCTTTTCCAATTTCATGTACAAAACCAGCATCTCATTCAATCCAAGTGAGATACTAAAAACAGAAGTGTAGTTTTTTCTACTGACTAGTTTTGAACCATCTAAAAAAATATGGGGGAAACACTTCAGAATCTGAATTTAAATCAAATACTATATTCCTGAGGAAATAGGTAACTTAAGTTTTTATAAAGCTATTTGTTGTAGCAAGACTTGTAAATATTAATAGTTCCCATGTTTAGGATTGTAAGATTGCTACTTATTAACATAAATTAAATAAATACAGTAATCACTACTGTATAAAACACATGCACATTCACAAAGGTTAAAAGGGAACACAGAATGAAGATATTAAAAATTATAACTTGTTTTTTAGCAAGTTTGTTATCAGTGCAACAGCACAATACGGCATTCCCCTACGTGCTGCCTTGCTCTACAAATAAGGGCTCATCTACACTGTTAAAAGCCCCGAATTTCTTTCTCAAACCCTGTAATTCCTTCCCTTTGTAGTCCTATCTTTATACTTCAGTCAAAGATCTATCCTTGTGTTTCTGAAAACCCAAAATAACCTGCTGACAAATGCTTTTGCTCCAGTAACTTAATTATTGGGAGATCCATAAGCATAATTATTATGAAATGATTTTGATGCAATACATGAAGAAAACGTATTTTCTTTGGTAAAAATCAAGATGAGCTTGGTAGTACATGTCCCTCACGGAACATCTCACTCACGGAACCACTTTGCCTGCTCTCATTCCTGAAGGAGGAGTCAGTGTCCTCAAAACAATCTTACCCCAGTTGTGACATGCTGTCACTGTTGATTTTACAACACCTTTTCTCATCTATGTCCTCTTTGGCACATATTTACTATTTACATGAAGCACACTTAAGATCTTTTCTTAAAACAGAACCCGGGGGCCTCTTACAAGCACCAGCCAAACCCTGGCGTAGACAGGTTTGCTGTGGGTGCTGTCCTTTCTCCGTGTCTTTTGCTGAGTCACTGCTGGTGTCTTCATGTTACAGGCACCCTCACTGGGAAGAGAGAGTGCGGCCCAGCAGGGCCCCTGGCTGACTCTTCTGTCAGTTACAGGAGCACCACAACATACAAGCCCCCTCCCCAAAAGAAGTGCTGGAGACAGAGTCCTGCTTTGGGGCGCAAAGTGCCCGCTGTGGGGTGTGAATTGGGAGTCCAACGGTACGGTGTGTTTCACATTACCCCTCACATGTGTAAGAGGCACAGCAGACAGAAGGAATTCAGCTAATCCAAGGATGACAGGAGGGGGAGAAGCCCTGTGTTAGTGTCTTCCTCGCTTTCACTCAGCCATGGTGGAAGCCGCCTGTCCGAACTGCCCAGGCACAGCTCTGTAATCTAAGTCTGCCAGGCCTCCACACCCAAGCCCTCTCCAGGTTGTCGTCTGTGTTGGGACAGACAAGTGCACTGAAGCCAGACAGATGGGCATACGGCAGATCAGACACCGGTGCCTGTGCAGGGTGGAGCTGCAGCCCCCAGCATACTTGGCTCTGAGTGTGGAATATCCAACAGGACATTAAAGAGAGTCGTGGGGTGGGGGGAACGCACGGGAGCAATGAAATGAGAGCACACGGTCCTGGAAAACGATGTGTTTCATGAAAGCCTCGAAGGCCAAAGCTGAGCCCAGACAGAAAAAGGAGTGGAGGGTACCGTAGTGTGAGAAATCGTAAAAGAGAAAAGCAGGCAGATACTAGGAGCACATATTTATGTAGATGAAGGGAAAATGAGAGCCAGCCCCCAGCCCTGGGGAAAATCACACCTGGGCCAACCTTACAGAGAGAGGCGCACAGGCCGGGGCCATGCCAGAGCTCACACTTGACAGCCAGAGGCCGGCACAGTGCTCTCCTGGCACACATGCACAGTTCCGGGTGGGGGGCAGCTATGTCCCCTCTGTAAGTGATACTTGGTCTTGAAGGCGGACCCTACTCAATCGTGGGCCCACTGAAAGGTGATGAACTCACTGCTCAGAAGAAAGCGCTAATGGGGTTCTTGCCCGTAGGAAACGAGTACAGAACGATGCAGAAATTAAATTAGAGCTCAGATCTGAGTGAGAGAGTATGTTTGAGAGGGATCGGAAGTCACCTGGATGGGGGCTTTACGGCCAACATGGGCAGCGTGGGCTGCAGTACCGACCCTGACTCCCAGTTCCCACATGTTCACAGTCAACTCCTGAACACAGACGACTAATCCCACTGAGCGCTCAGAACTGCTGATTTATGAAATCCTTTCTATTAAGCTGAATAGATTTGAGTTTGGATATTCACCTCTGTTTTTGAGCAACTTCTGTATGGAGCTCGCTGTTGATTAATTTGTTACTTTCTCGAATCGGTCCATCAAATAACATGTTTATATGTGTCTACTACTTTCCGGGCCTTTTCAATCAGTCTGATCAGTTTGAGCCATCTTATTAATACACTCAACACCTAACCCCACATTCCCCTTCACTAAATCATCACCAAGCAGGAGGACTTCGGAGACCTTAGTCCGTGACTCAGGATAGCATGGCTTTCCTCAGAACAGTAAGTCTCCCATGATGGCTTTGTTTCTGGGCATCAAAAGTGCCTGAAATCAGCACTTAGCCCTTTCCCTGAAGCCCTTGTTGAAAATGCAGACTTCAGTTATCTGTTGTCCACTATGCTGGCAAACAGGACTAAAACATATAGGCAGGAGACACACAAGATAAACTTTCTTCCGCAGGTGTTAATTCCAGACCTAAACTCAGATCTTTAAAAACAGACTAAAAAGATCTGGGCGTTGAAAGTCTCCTCGCCTTAGCTCTGTCGGAGGAAAGTGTGGACGGGGCATACGTTTGTGCAGACTCTCCTCTCACCACACTTTGAACCTCCCTCCTACAGAGAAACAACAGGTGGACTGTAGCAGACACACGGGAGCTAATTTCTCCTCCAGGGAGGCCTCCTAAAGTGTCCACGTGGTAAGGGATGCCTTGATGAGGGAAGAGACCCCACTTTGGGAAGACTAATCAATATCAAAACGTAAAAGCTTCTCCCTCAAATCATCCTGAAAACTTCCTCAAAAAAAACCACACAAAAACCTAAAAAAACTTTCATACTTTGGTGAGAACTGTCACTTTCACACAAAATTCTTCGCGAAGTATATACCACACCACCTCAGCAAAAACTGCAACTGTACTTTGAAACACCAGGTAAATGCACTGACTGCTTTATCACAAGATCAGGATAAGGCAAACATTCAATAACTACACAATGATGTCACTTACTATTTCTACTCCGTTTGCTTCCAAAAGATCTGAGCAGCTCATTCCCCAGGGAGGTACCTGAAATCAGGTACCTCTCTGTGAGTGGCCAGGAGCCGGCCTGCGCCCCTGCCTCCCCGCCGCCCCTGCCTCCTGGGATGCCCCATGGAATGTGAGATTCCATTTTGGGGGTAAGCACCCCCAGCCCTCAGGGTGTCAAGACGCACACAGACACCCAGGGCACCTGGAACTAGTGTTTATAATAACACGTGCAGTGACTGTTATAAACCACATTGTTCATTCATGGTAACACATGCGGCGACTGTTATGAACTACACTGCTGGGTAAAAGGTATGGCAAAGTCATTCTATGAAAGATGACAGGCAATCGATCCCAGATGGTCAAATCTCCAGGAAGAGAAGAATAAAGAAACCTGGCTGCGAGATATAGCAGTTTATTAAACTAATAAACCTATGAGAGTTCAGACACCTGACGGGACTCCTGCTTCTGGCCAAGATGAAATAAGGGGACTAGACTAGCCTTTCTGCCTGAATTAACCAAACGTCACACAAAACGTGTGAAATAGCAGTCTGCGAAGCATTGCACATTGGGCTGTGAATGACAGCGACCTCTGGGAGGGAAATGAGCTCGGACGCTCCCTTCCTATGTCCCTGTTTCCAGGCCGTGGAGAGGGGGCCGGGAGCTGAGGCTCCAGTCTCCGAGACAAAGGCCTACAGGGAAGACGTGTGGCCACAGAGGGCATGGACATGAGCAAGGAGAGGTCAAGGGTCCCCCTCAAGGACTCGCCACCTGTGTGTGAGCAAACTGCTAAGGACGGGGAAAGGGACAACAGGGTCTGGTGCCCACACGGGACCTGGAATAGCACCTTCCTACGAGCCAGACTGGAAAGCTGTTAAGACACTGGGCCCTGAATACTCAGTTGTGGGGCGATGAGCCCTGGACAAAATACTGTTCTAGTCTTGCCTAACAAATCTTAAAAGTAGGACTCTAAAAGATCAAAAGGTTTTCAAATAATTTAATATGTCCAGAATGAAACTCAAGAATATTTATAGAAATACAAAAACATCTACCCACAAATCAAGATTCACAATGTCTGACAGTCAATCAAAGATTATCAGATGTGCGATGAAGTAGAAAACACAACACCTAAAGGGGAGAAAAAGCAGTCGAATGCAGCCAGAAGCTGACAGGAAAGAACTGGAAGACAGACACACGGAAACAGCTATTATAACTGTATCCCCTCTGTCCAGAAGTTACGTACTGATGGGAAAGATACTGAGAAGGTTCAAATTGAGCCCCTAGAGAGAAAAACAATGCATGGGATGAAACTTTCACCAGATGGCCCTACTGGCAGATTAGATGCCGCAGAAGATTAGTGGACTTGAAGACACGAATTACCTGAAGAGCTCCAAACCCACCAAAGAAGTCCGTGGTTTACGAATTCTCCACAAAGCCAAGGTAGTTTCACCGGGAACTCTCTCAAACATTTAAGGAAAAAATAATACCAAGTCCATACAAACTCTTCTAGAAAATGAAAAGGAGGGAACATTCGCAACTCACTTTATGAGGCCTTCATTTCTGAGACAAACTCAGACAAATACAGTACGAGAAAACAACACACCAACATCCTCCATGACCACAGACGCAAAAACCAATGAAGTGACAGCAACCTGAATCCCACAGTACAAAAAAGGGTAACACACCACTGCCAACTCAGATCTGTCCTGCAGCTGCCAGATGGGCTTGCCACGTGAAGAGTCAATCCATGCGATAAACTAAGAAAACAAATGTCATATGACCACCCCAGCGGTTACAGAAGAATTCATCAAAGTCCAACATGCACTTCTGGGAATCTCTCAGCAAATTAGGAATGGAAAGGAGCTTCCTCAACCCGATGATGGGCACTTATGATAAGTCAGCATCACACTCGATGCTGAAAGCCTGAAGAAGGCTTTCCCCACTGAGATCAGGAACCAAACAAAAACTGTCTGCTTTTACCACTTCTACTCATCGTCATTCTGGTGTTCTGAACAGTGCACTGAGGTAAGAAAAGGAATTAAAAGGCATGCAGATTAGAAAGAAGTAAAACCATCTCTTATCTCTGTTCATAGGCGACATGATGGTCTACATAGAAAACCTGATGGAATCCACAAAAAAGCCACTGGAGGAGAGGTAAGAGAGCAGTATACCAAACCAATGTATAAAAATAATTTCTATTTCTATACACTAGCGAAAACCAATAATTAAAACTATTATTTATAATACAATTAAAAATATGAAATGCTTGGGGTGCCTGGGTGGCTCAGTCAGTGCGGCGTCTGACCTCGTCTCAGGTCATGACCTCACAATTCGTGGGTTTGAGCCCCACATCGGGCTCTGAGCTGCCCGCTTCAGATTCTGGGTCTCCCTCGCTCTCTGTCCCTCCCTGCTTGCATCTGTCTCTCAAAAATAAATAAACATTAAAAAAAATATGAAATGCTTAGGGCTAAACCTCATAGAAGCTGTATTAGACCTACACACTGGAACTAGAAGGCACTGCTGAGAGAAATGAAGGAAGACGAAGCAGAGAGCCGTCCCTTGTGATCAATCAGTAGACACGATATCAGGATATCAATTTTCCCCACACTGATCTGGAATTCAACATGATCCTAATCAAAACACTAGTCGGCTTTTTTTTGCAGAAACTGGCAAACATTCTAAAACTCATATGGAATTGCAAAAGACCGCTACACACGCACTCAAGTGGCCAAAATCAAAAAGACTGATAATAGCGCGTGTTAGCAAGACTGCAGAACACCTGGAGCTCCGCTACACCTGCTGGTACAGATACCAGAGCCTGGGGGCTCAGTCGGTTAAGTGGCCCACTCTTGATTTGGGTTCAGGTCACGATCTCACGGTTCCTGAGATCGAGCCCCACGCTGGGCTCCACACTTAGTGCAGAGCCTGCTTGGGATTGTCTCTCTCCCTCTCTCTGCCCCTCCCCTGCAAGCAAGCATGCATGCATGCTCTCTCAAAATAAACTTAAAAAAAAAATTGTATAGCCACTCTGAAAACATGAAATGCCTTAAAAAGTTAGCACTTTGAGCCCCTACTTCTCGATATTCACCCAAGAGAAATGAAACATATGTCCACACAAATCATCTTTGTTAATGTTCATAGCAGCTTTATGCATAACAGCCCCAAACTGGAAACCCAAATACCTGTTAGCTGGTGAAATGGTGGTACCCATTACTCAGCAACCAAGAAACAAATTACTGTCACACAGTAGGCATGACAGTCCCAAGCACTATCCCAAGTGGAAGATGAAGGTTCCGCTTAAGGGAGATGCTAGACTGGTGGAATATAGCCACAGAAATCAGTGGTCTGCAAGGAGCGGATCAGGGGAGAGACGAACTTTTTCACGTAGAAACATTCTACATCTTGACTGTAGTGGTGGTTGTTTACACGTCAATATAAAATGTATTGAAGTACACATTATGTATAAATTATACCTTAATAAAGTTGATCTAAAAATAGAATAAACTTATGATGATTTAAGACAAAAAGGGATGTATGTGTATCAAACTGTCAATAGTAGTCTTCTTTGGATGATGGGAGTATATATAGTTTTAATTTTCTTCTTTGTAATCCCCATTGTTTTTATGATGTAATCACTCATGCAAACAGAAGAAAAATTTTAATTCAAGTCCTTTAATAGAAATTGTGGTATCATATTGTTACCTAAAACGTAGATAACAGACTAGTTGATGAGTGCCATTCTTTACAAATGGAAGATCAGAGAAACCAGTCTGCTTATAAATGGAATACGCAAATAGTAACATGTACTTTTGACCATTTTTGTGTTAAAAATGGAACATCTTTACATGAAACGTAACAAAATCTGTCTGCATGTCTTAATAGCAACAATCACAAAATGAGAAAATCTATGAACCAGAAGCGCAGAGTGTCCTATGTAACCGTGAAGTTACAATAACAAATCATGTCTATTTAAAAAAGTATGACAGTCGTGTGGCTCTTAGAAACACATCTTTCTCCCGAAATGGCATAACTTTATCTTTCCAGGCAGCTTAAGCCTGAAAATAAAAATCCCACAACCACCAACCACCAATGAATCACGCAATGACCCGGGGGACACGCCGCCCCAGGACTCTTACTGTTCTTGCGGAAGGCCGATGCTTGCGTTCCCGCTACTTCCCTCATTTCCGACTCTGAAACAACACTGAGGACCACCCGACCCGCGTCCGCACCACACTTCCTGGCCCTGGACCGGTGTGTTACCTACACAACCGTGACAGCACCCAAGCGAGCGGGGCGGGCCGGCAGCGCCGCCCGCCCCGGCGGGGCCTCACCTGGTACAGCTCTTCCAGGTTGTACCTGATGGAGGTGCTGCTCTGCACGGCTCTCACCGCCTCGTGGAGCTTCTGCCAGGTGTCCTGCGTGTAGTTGTCCGGCAGTTTGGGTCTGTCTGTGGGTCCGGAGAGCCCAAGTGAGGCGGGCGCGCTTCGCAGAACCATCCCCC